TATACAGTTTTTACTTCTCTGTCATCTGACGTTCTTTCAATATGCTGACTGACTGACTTTCTACCCCACTAGGACACCACACAAGCGATAAACACCCGATGACAGAAAGTGCCACCATGTGGGTGAGGATCACCGTGGAGAGGTCCCAGAAACCGCGTTCAGCCTTTAGGTCATATTTATGGCCATGCTATTTTGCGGCCTCTGGCAAGAGCCTGGATAGTGCTTCAAATAACGAAAAATGTCGTCCTAAAAGGACGGGAGATAACTACTCGCATCAACTCTCAATATGCCCCAGCTATTTCAACCTATTAGCTCTCATGATGCCAAAGATCGATGGTGATTTAAACATATTATGAATTTCTTTGTTGCTTCTCACTCTATATCCCCCGCTGTTTTTACATCTTTGATAGGTCCAAAGATTCGTCGTAATACCCTGTTTTCAAAAACCTGTAATAAACCTTGATCTCTTTTAGTTGTGCTCACAGTTTCAGGGCCATATAAAACGACTGGTCATACCATGCTTTGTTGCACTAAGCGACGTCCATTCGCGTTTGCCATGAGACAGATCAGTCGTCCACATCAAATCACATTAAACTGACAGAGGCAAAGCATTGGGCCACTAGCAGTTTCTTAATCTGAACTCGGTTCTATCACAGGGACCTGTAGTGCAGCGACTAGACGATCCGAAGGTCGCAGGTTCAAATATGAACGGAGGCGGACTCTTTCGAATTTGACCTTGGTACTAGTTAACGTCCTAGAAAGTAAAGGCGGCCGGCGTGATGTTGACCACATCACCCACTGAGTGCCGATTCGGCATCAACATGTAACTCTGGGCTATTCAACTTGCCGCTCGCGTGCCAAATCTGGCAAACTGAGGTCTAGCTAGTCTTCTTCTTCTTCTTCGATCCTTCTGTAAGGAAACTTTTATCAGGAGGTAGGCAGCCTTTATAAAAGCTATCGTGCATATCTTCTCGTGCACCATACAGCTTTGTCTTAATTGTGGTTGGAACAGGCCAGATTGTGTCTCTAGTGTCAGTATACAGTTGACAGTGGAGCACATGCTCAGCATTTTCGGGTGCCACGCTACAGGGACACGTCTCCGTATTTCCTACACCGAAAAATTTGAACATATGTTGACGAAATCTGTTGTGCCCGGTCCTTAGTCTGAATATAATACACTGTCCCTCTCCAGAGAGGCGATGAAGTGAGTCTTGGGGAGAAGATCTGGTGTGGGAATTCAGCCACCTTTCTTGGATACTAGACTGTATTAATGTTTTCGTCTCTTGGTGGGTTTAGTCGCTATTTGGTTGTACCATGTCACTTCCGCTTTTGGCCAATCTGTCCACTATTTCATTGCCTTCCAAGCCACAGTGACCTGGAATCCATTGTAGTACAGATTAGGCCTAGCCAGTGACCCGCGGATTATTTCAAAATTATATTGAAATAATGATATTTCTATGCTGGGTCTTCGGTCTATATCCCCTCCCCCATTTTTCAACATTCTGGCGTCTTAGTGAATGGCCCTGATTTCGCAGCTCCGTTACAAAACGTCGCTCTTGTCACGGTTTTCCCACGACCTGCTTCAGCTGACAGTTTGTGCTGCTGACGTCACCGGGTCAGGCTAACCATGCGCTAACTCAGTGGTTCTCAAACTGGGTGCCGAGGCGTCCCAGTGGTATGGGATGTAGCAGGGGCGTGGGTGTATACCAGGGGTGCCGCCACAATAATCAAGAAAAGTCGGCTAAAATTGTGAAATTATTAAAGAAGGCATGTAGATACTTAAAAGTTAGAAAAAAAACCGGTCTCTCGCCAGCTCTGTAATAGACACTTTTATGGTAAATGCCGACACCTTTCAAAGATACAGTGTCGTAGGCACCGGCACCTTCTTGTCTAAGGGAGGGGGGAAAAGCCTGGTGATGATACCAACAGTAGGCAACCATTAGTCCTTGAGGACCATAGAGTTGTAACACTGGTTTTTGGCATCAGCTTCTCCTATAACTGTCAAATCCAATGTGGGAGTGAAAGTGCATTCTACCACATAGTCTACATCAAAATGTTGATACTCTTATCTATTATATAAGGGTGATTTTCTCTCAACGTCTTCTCTCTGTATCTGCAGCTGATCTCTCCAAAGTGTCTTTGTCAATGTTGATATCTTTCAGGTCATGTTTGCCTACTGTCATTATTGGATTTTATATTTTTCTGGAGGAGCATGTAGAGTGCAGGTTTCAATGCCGTAGAGGAGAGTGTTCGGGACGCAAGTTTTAAAAACTGTCATCATTGGGGTACTATCCGTCAGCTGTTTGTTGGACCACACTCTTGCTTGTTGTGAGTTGAGAAAGCACTGCAGAAGCCTTTGCTATTGGTTGTTTGTTTGGTGCTTTATTAATATCCTATCCCAGATGACGTCACAGGACAGTCCAATATTTTAAAGGGGGGTAAGACTGGGTTCCCCGGCTTTCTGATGCTTTTAACGAACCCAAAACATCTAGAACTGGTCCTAACCACAACCTACTTACGTCCTATGAAAGAGTGCAGCCTAGGCCCCACGACTGCATACAGCCTATCTACCACTCTCTGAAATATTAAACTGTCTCGTGACCTTTGGATTTTCCCTGTTTGGGGTAGGATATTACTAAAGCATCATTTGCTTAGATTTGCCTCTAGGGGAAAAAGGTCGAAAGCGATTCGAAAGCCTAGTTACTCAAACTCACGTACAACCAACAGCTCATGGTCTTAAACGCTAATGCTTGGTAGATTTACCACATTCATCCCTAACGCTTGCGTTTTCTTAGGACTGACGGTGAGTCCAAATAAAGCGATTCATGAGAATCTGCAGATCAAGTTATGTATGCGAATCATTTCTGCATCATCCGCAAACAGAAAGTCCCTGCCGCATCTTGTCTGCACTAAGCCCTGACTGAGTTGAGTTGAGTTAAGAATTGACATCACAGCACTCGGGGCATTCCCATATGCGCTTTGTCCCCATCTTCAGCAGCCAGTGCAGAGTTCCAATACTGAGGGTACTGGTCACAATCTGGTTATATGTCCGTCTTGCCTTTTCTCTGAGTGTAGTGAGCCGGCCAGACCCTCTGGTTACACCCAGATGCCACAATAATCTTCTATCTCTACTGATTCCGTTGCTTGTTCCCAACAATGGCCTTGACCACATCTGCCTTGGCATGTATCAATTCACCACCTAGTGGTACAGATCCAGCTAGTTTGTCTACCTGTTACTTACTTATCACGGCGGCATAGCCTGGAGAAAAGATCCAAAGTATGCTCACTACCAGTGACTTTTCCAGTGAAGCTTGCCACTCTGCTCAAAGCATCCCTGTCTTCACCTTTCCCAGCATGCTTTTACAGTCTGTTACAATTACGACTTGTGTATACATCTTGTTCTTTAGCCACCGGAGAGCTGCAGCTACCGCCTCCACCTCCACTCTCATGCTAGATGTTGTGGTGTCTTATGCTGGACAGATTGAAAAGGTTTCCACGTGACCTCGTACTAAGATAATGATAATCATAATCACTTCAGTGGCTGTCCCAAAAGCATGCCTAAGCAATGCGATGACAACGACGCTAAACAACGTGGGAGATAGAACGCAAAACTGCTTTACAGCATTACGAATCTAGAATAGCAATATTTGTTGTGATAAATTATTTAACCTTTCCGTGCGTACGAACACGGCCATCTCCAGCCTTCTTCTCATAGCAGTCATAGCGGTCTTGCGTACGAACACGGCCATCTCCAGCCTTCTTCTCATAGCAGTCATAGCGGTCTTGCGTACGAACACGGCCATCTCCAGCCTTCTTCTCATAGCAGTCATAGCGGTCTTGCGCACGAAGACATCCAGCTGTATATTTATATCTAAAGATGGCCGTGCGTACGAATTGCCGGATGTCAATTCCGAGAAACGAAAGCGAAATAGGAAGACAGGAAGAAAAAAGTAATCCATAAATGCGTCCTGGTGGTACCCTTGTAAACTTGTATCTTCATACTTCAAATGGCTGACTTGACTTGGGGGTGATAGGAAAATCAAGCGTCTCTGTAAGCCTTTGTGTTTTACTTCATACCGACTTCTGCGAGTATAGATTATTATAGAAACGTTGAACATATAAAGCATACTAAGCTGCACGACAGTAGTGCACTTTTACTTATTATAGGCATGATAAAAAGAGAATGGACTGGCCCAAAAAAGGTGCTGAAATTGGAAACAAACGGAGTAAGGAAACGTAAACGAGGACGTCTAGAAAAAAACCGTTAGACGAGCGTTGTTGAGAGAGGCCCCCTGTGCTGAGCTGGATTCCATTTAATGATATAGAAAGCAGGATAGACAGGGCTGGAGTAATAAACTTCAAGCCCTATGTGACTCAGTATTATGTATAACAACACAGAAAGAGGATGATAAATCAAAATGAATTAGTTCAACAGAAGACACACATAAAATCTTTCCATTTTGATGATCTTTTTTTATATATATATATATATATATATATATATATATATATATATATATATATATATATATATATATATATATATATAGAGAGAGAGAGAGAGAGAGAGAGAAATGATAAATAAAAATTAAAACAGAACACTTAACTATGATGGAAGTAAAAATACTACTATTTCTGAGACAGCCATATTGTATTATATTAATAATATAGTGTGAATATTTTTGTATTTTATTATTATCATTGAAATGCACAGGTTTAATCCTAGCATACTATCTATACCCATAAATCCTTTTTTTTTTTCAGACACAAAAATGTCCTAAGGTCTAGATGCTAACTGATCCAGTAGAACACTGGTTGACTCAATGTTGCACTCCTTGTCATATGTCCTTTTGCTGTATCTATACCTTATTCCAAAGCGTATTAAATAATGATTTTAATATATTTTTTCTATTGATCAGGTTTGGACATGAACACCTGTTTCACCCATAGCTGATCTGGTCTGTTTATGCATCTGTATGAGTTGAGTACAGATTGAGAAGATGGTTTCCACATTTTCTGCCTTATGTAAGACAGTGGCCTATGGTGTGTCAGGGCTGAGCACCTGTTATTGTTTGTTAAAATTTGGTTGCAGTCTTGGAAAGGTATGCATGTTTTCATTTCTCTGATTTTCTCTTGTGGATTCTGGGGCTCTCATTGTGGGGAAAGGGGGGAGGGAGGGTATTCTGCTGCCCGTTAACAAGCATGTCATAAAAGTGATTAAGTAGTTGCTTAGATCGGTTGTGGCGGGCTGAAAGGAGCAGATATTGTAGCCTAGCTGTAAATCACAACATGGCATGCCAAATGCCTTTTAAGGGCAAATGTTGAAAATGATTTAATTGATTTAGGTGTACTCTTTCAGTCCACTGCAATTTGAAATGTATGATTTACTCTTCCCCCTGAATCCCACCCGTAGTGCAATGTGTTTTCTTATTTGTAACATTTGCTTAGAGAATACTACAAAAATCTGGCAACCCCATTGGCAGTTTTCTCTCTGTTCAAGTTTGAAGTCAAGAGGATTGACTTCATTGCACCAGGTTTTATCCCATGTGGCTCAGTCTCTCTACATAGAATGGCTGGCTGCCTGCTGAGAGCCCAGCAAAGAAGTGCAAACCCAGGAATCTTCATGAAAATTGCACTCTTTAACTGAACGGTGCAGCTGTGAAACAAACCCAGAACCTTCAGAATGCGATGCAGGGGCTTGACCACTTCACCACAGAGACCCCCATATTTACCCTCTGTTAAATTAATATATTCACAGTCCTTTGTATCGGTTATTTTTATCATCGAGCAGGAGCTACATAATGTAGGGTTCTTAGAGTTACTCTTAGTCTTTTATTTCTTCTCCTCCAACTTTCTGTACCTTCTCCTCCTCCTTACTTCATTCTTCTTCTGCTTTGACTTTTCTCCGTTTGTTTTTTTTCTTCTTTTGCATTATCAGTTACATGAGCACAGCATTGTTTTGTCTTATCTAGCTGCTCGTCGTTTTTTTTGTTTGTTTTTTTTTAATCTTTTTATTTTCTTCTTTTTTCCTTCTCTGCATTCTGCATGATCTGCTGTGCATCTGCAACAGTTTACAGTCATTGTCAGACAGTATTTAACTTCACATATTTCTTGGATTTATCTCTGCAGTGTGAGGATGTTTCCATGGAACCAACCATACAGGATGGGGATCTTGTTCTGATTTGTTCATTTTATGTCAGACATCTGCTTCTTCAGAAGTGAGTTTTTTAGATAATGTTATATTTAATTAAATGTAATACCTTTTTTATATTCAGTGCAGTCTATCTTTGTTAGTTGAGATGAGAAAGATAATCAGTAAATCCTGATACACAGAAGTAAATCATGGACATTTTGACGATTAGTGAAAAATTATTTTGATGTGGCAGAGAAGTGGTTTTATTGTTTAAAAATAAGAATACCCAGGACAGATAAAAATATTAATGAATATGTCTTGAAAGAAACTGACTCGCAAAAAGAATTGTTTGCCCACATCAGAAGGAGACCAACTAGATCAGAGGTTCTCAACCTTGCTAACGCCGTGACCCTGTAATACAGTTCCTCATGTTGTGGCATTCCCCTAACAGACAATTATTTTCGTTGCTTCTTCATTAGTTCAATGAATATGTGTTTTCCAAGGGTCTTAGGCGACCCCTGTGAAATGGTTTTCAACCAAAAAAAGAGTCACAGCCCACAGGTTGATAACCGCTGAATGGCATTCTTCGGTCATGTTATGAGAAGGATAAAACTGGAGTTGGAGGGGGAAAAAGGCAGAAAGAGTCCAAGAAAAGATGAAGTTATTAAAAGCAACTAATTTGGGGTGTTTTCTTGGAAATCCAAAGGCATCTGTTTGAGAGGCAGGGAACTATCAGTCCGTGTACACATGCATCAGATTTATAAAATGGATATGCATGCAGAAACCAAGTCTTGGAGCAAGACAAACCTAAAAGTGGACAGACAACCAGAACTTTGTGCCAGAATTTACAGTCAGTGATTGTGAAGAAGTTACTTAGTTTCTTCAAGCCAGTAGTACGTTGTGCCAACAGCTTCAAGTGGAGGATTATAGTGGGGCTGATTCTTATCTTACTTATCCTAGGATTAGGAACCTAAAACTGAAGGCAGACCAGGCCCTTAACCTTGGTTGGCAGCTGGTCTGGGAGGGAAAATCTGAAAGCAGACCACTGCACTTCTAATCTGACAGCTTCTGCAGCATGCTTTTTTCCAAAGTATACTCTCTTGCAGGATAAAGTTAACACTTTGTTAAAGTTGGCAAAGCATTGGGCAGTACTAACTTTTCATTTGATTGGAAAGAACATATTCATGCTGTTAAATCATGTGAATATGTTTTTAAAAATAATTTCATACCTTTAGATAGGTTACAAATGCCCCCCCCCCCCCCCCCCCCCCCCCCCACCATTTTTTGGAAAGTTAGGCCCTCGTGGTAAGTTCTCCATTGTTGGGTCTGAATTAACTGCTGTGTTGTCATCATGCTGTTCTACACAGAATCAGGCTATTGCGAGAATTTTAACTGTTGCACTGGAAATTCTTGTTTCCTAGTCAACAGTCTATCGATTGAAACAACAATCTAGGTTAACTGGCATCACCAGAGACCGTCTAACAGCAGGGAGATCAAGGATGACCTTGCAAAGGCAGGTCTGATTTATCCGCAAGTTAACTTGTAGAACCGTATCTCGTCTACCCAAAGGACAAGAGACACCATTTGTGCACTTAAAAATAACAAACACAGTTTTTCCTAACACTCTTTTATGCAGTCTGAGGGAAGCAAACATAAAATCCTTTCCAGCTTGTTAGAGGTCCTTGATTTCAATCACGCCACATTCAGAATAGACTTCAGTGGGTGGGTGTGCGTGCCAGATGGCCTCAAAGGTAGTGGCAGTTGTCCTGTTCTCAGACCTGTTGAGATTCATGATGAAAAGGTATGATGGCAGAATCAGGGTGTACAGACATCTACGTGAATGATATGCTCATAACTGCATCTGCATGGCTTTAAACTTTGGTAGTGGCAACATTTTCATATGTACGCGATGTCCTGATATCACATGTGCCAGTCTTTTAAACTCATGAACAAGAGTGCTTTTATGGTCTGGTAGTCTTAGTTTCAGCTTCATAGCAAACGGGTCACCCCATCTTTGCTCCGCTCCTGTGCCAATGAAAAACACACAGAATGTTTATCACAGTCCCTTGTGGAAAGATTGACAGAATGCTGTCTCGGCATATCTAGCATACACAGGCATTAAAGCATACGGTAGCAATCCGAAGTGCTAACACAAACAGTTCAATAAATGCAGTTCATCATTGATGGTAGCAGAAGTGGTTCCTTTTATGGACAACAATGCAGCCTTTTATCGCACATGAGTAACCGCTGTATTTCTGTTGGATCAGCATTAATGTTCTTCATTTGTAGCCAGCAATTTCACATCACCTTAATCCTGTTCATCATGTATGGGCTATGCATGACTGCCATGTCCGAAACCACCCATATCCACCTACAATCATTTAAAGCCTGAAAATAAACTCACGTGTGCATAGAATGATCTCAAATGCTGCAGTCTGAAACAGACCGCTCATTGAGGCACCACTGTGAAGCTGTGAGTAAGACAAGAGAAGGAACGGTCATTAAGCAGCGTTACTTTTTATTTCGATCCCCTACCACTGTGAGTATTGCCTCACATATCAAGTTTCTTAAAACCTCATTCCATGCTAAAACACTAAAAAACAAACACGCAGTTTGTCAGAAAATTACGTTGCAATCAGACACAAACTGCACAGGTTATTGGTGGAAATATAAAATGTTGACCTTATTTTGCAAGAAGGTATATTAGTTTTACCTTTCCTTTGAGGTAAACAAGGCAAGGAATGGGCAACATGGGGTCTCTCCAATACTGCCCATGCTTTGTACTGTGAAGAGGAGGGACATATCCCTCGCCCTAATTGGCTGTGATTCATGTGCCTCTCTATAACACATTATAACATTATTGCCTGTAAAGACAATAGGGTACCAACGAAGCAACTACAAATTATTGCTTACATTTTTTTTCACATTAGTTATATCCAACCCTGATCAGTAGTCTGTTTTTAATAGCTTCTTTGGCGCTGTTCACATTTCCAGGCCCAGGATTTGAGTACATTCCCTTGCCATTTATGCCTCCTTAGGTCGCTGGACCTCTCCAATGTTGTGGGGGAGTCATGTTTTCCTTATCGTGAACGGTTTAACTGTTGCCTCTTTTCTAGTCTTCTCACCACTCGCTTGTGTGATTGTTTTTACGTTCTGCTACCTGCGTGACGATATGAAAACAGTGATATTTTTCTATTCTACACTCCTTGTAACTGCTTTCTTTTTCTCTGGGTAAAGCCACTGAATGTAGAAATGCAAAAACATCCCAGTTTCGATAGCCAAGAATCGTTGCACCTGCAGAGCTTCTCCTTGCAGCACATCTTACTTGTACACAGGCGCCTGAAATAGACTCACAACAATACAGCCTCCCGCAGACATTACATACACCAAACGAAACCACATTAAAACACCTCCTCAGCATAGGAGTGGTCCAGCGATCTAAGGAGGCATGAATGGCAAGGGAAGTTGCTCTTATCCTGGACCTAGAAACATGAACAGGACTGCTTCTTTATATTAGATTGTTTACTAAATACTACAATTATGTTTTTATTCTTTTTGTTTTTTGTCCACTTTCAGGGGTGACATTGTATTTTCTAAATCGCCGTATGATCCCAGATCAGTTATATGCAAACGTATTGTTGCCATGGAAGGGGATACAGTTTTCAACAATGAAAAGGGTTTAGCAGAATATGTAAGTAAATAGTAGCAATCTTGCACACATTTTCAGTTTCATCATAATCATGTAGCAGGTTCTTACAAAACATCACAGCCTGCCTAAAAAACTTGGTCCCTCGCCAGCTCTCCCGCCTTTTGCCTGTTCCTGCCCATAAGACTTTTGTATCATGTTCCCATCTTTGTACTGGTCATCCCCTGCCCCTCTGCCCACCCTTTGCCTAGAACCATGCCTTTTGCTACAGTTCTTTCCAAACCACCATGGAGTTTGATGTGGCTAGAGAATTTTAGTTTCCAGCACAAAGATGCTCTTTAAAGAACATTTTTAGTATAGACAGATAATATATGAAGCCACAATGTCCCAGCTGAATATAATATGGAAGAACAAAATCAGCATCGCAGTTAAGGTCAGTATATACGAATCACTGATATTGTCTATTTTCTTATATGGATGTAAGAGTTGGACTCTCACTGTGGAACTGGAAAGGAGGATTTAGGCTTTTGAATTTAAATGCTACAGACGCATTTTACAAATTAGTTATTTAGGACACAAAACTAATAAATATGTCAGAGACAAAATATATAAATTTGCAGGACATCAGGAGCTTCTCTTGGCAGTGGTGAAACATCGCAAGCTAGCTTGGTTTAGGCACGTTGTGAGTCTTGATTCAATTGCAAAGACTGTGCTTTGAGGAATATTGGGGAGTAGTCGAAGAAGAGGAGGGCAAAGGTAAAGTCGAGAGATGTGAACCGGCATCAGTGCACACGGTTATAAACCATAAGTGCTCTGCAACCAGTATGGACAGCTGATAAGAAATTGTCCACATGTGTCGCTGGCAACTTTGTAGCTACAGCGACGTTCCTTCATTTACCCAAGAGTGTTAGCTCTGGTACCCATTACCTAGATGCTGGTTGAACCCCGGGAACCACCCGGTTTCGAACACCGGCTGTGGGCTGCAGTGAGTCGCAGCTGGATTTGAAAGCGAGTCTCCTATCGGCTGGACCAACCTGGAATGAAAACATCAAGAAATTGACCGCACTAAGTTATCGTACATTTATTTAACAAGCAGAAGACAGAGAAAAATGGCGGGTATTATGTGCTAGTGCTTCCATCAATACACCTCCACGACTCTAATGGGTCAAGGGTTATGTTATGTTATATGAAGGTAATTATGCAAATGTATTATGCACAACTGCCCTTGCGGCCTGTGTTTACGACATTTGCCGTGTAGGTGGGTGGGGAGGGGGGTGAGTCATTGAGCCCGAGGTTTCAAGGCCACATGGCTGGTGCTGTCGCCAAGGACTGTGCGGGTTAGGATTTTAGTTTCTTTATTAATATCTTACCCCAGATGACGTCAAAGGACATTCCAACATTTTAGAGGGTGGTAAGATTGGGTTTCCTGGCTTTCTGATGCTTTTAACAACCCCACAAAATCTAGAACTGGCCCTAAGTCCCATGAGAGAGTACAGCCTAGTTCCCATGACTGCAAGCAGCCTATCTACCACCCTCTAAAATATTAGATTGTCCTGTAACCTGTGGATTTTTTCGGGCTTGGGGTAGGATATTATTATTATTATTTTATTTTTGCCCCCACATAAAAGACCAGCATTCTTAACCTCAGTTACATTTATCGCCTGTATGTTACTTAATTGGTAGTATCTGTCATGGAACTGTCTTGCCATTTTACATAAGATATTAAATTTAGACGACAGATCAACGTCTGATCTTACTACCCAGAGACCAGGGGAAATTACTCAAAGTCCACGTGAACAAAATCCCAGCCTTTACCAGGGCTTGAACCAGGGACCTCCAGCACTCGAGGCGGAGGCCATGCCTCGAGACCACGCAGCCCCTAAAGATAAGATGTGTGTAGACTAATAATTGTATAAACCTCTTCTATTACTAACCTTCATCTTCAAGTGGAACAGATATCCTCATCCAACTTATGTCAAGCCCTTATATCTTTTGCTATTTCCTTCTGCTCAGGGCCCTGAATATAGCCGGGGCATACATATGGCCTAATGGCTGAAAGAGGTTCCTGGGATTTCCCACGGGTGATCCCCATCCGCATGTTGGCACTTTGTGTCACTGGGTGTTTATCGCTTGTGTGGTGTCATGTTGGCGTACAACTACCTACCTACCTTCCATGTCTTTAACTTATTTCTGTTATCTTCTCCTGATATTTTTAGATCTACCTCTATTTCTTTTGCCTTGTGAATTCCATTGACAGAGTATTTTTGTTACCTTGTAACTCTTAGGTAGGTAAAGGTCACGTCTGGTTGGAAGGTGATAACAAAGAAGCAAGTGTTGACTCTCGATATTATGGTCCTCTCCCATATGGACTTCTCATAAGTAAAGTAACAGTACGAGTAAGTATACTGATCTTATAGGATATATAAAGTGGTAGTTTTCATCTATAGAGTGGTCATATACGTATAAAAAGTGGCGTTACCTGCATAATAAGTAGCATTAATTTATGTAAAGTAATAAAATGTATGTAAAATAACGGTTTATAAAAAGTAAAATAGCAGCTTATATTAATGCAAGTGCAGCTGTTGTGGGCAGTAAAAATATTTTTTTTGCCCCTGCAAGAACAATAGTTGTGTAACTAGTGGATAAATACAGCACCTGCTTGAACAATAGTTGTGTGAATAAGAATAAAACCAGCATTTGTAGCATAGGATAATGAAGAATATGCTTTTTATGAGATGTTTCTTAGTGTCAATTTGGACTGTCTTATTTTGTTAAAAGGAGGGGGGGAGGGGCTAGCTGTCCCAGTGCATGTTTTAGTCACATGACCAGGAAAAGAATCAGGCACATGCAATCACAGTCACCCATAGTAGACGTAGTATAAGTGTAAAAATTATAGAGGAAAATGACTATTATCTACAAGCTATAAGATACTATCGGCGGAATGGCTGAACAGGCTAAAACCATGCGTCGAAGACATATTGGAAGATTACCAAGCAGGTTTCCGACAGAACAGATCAACAGTAGATCAGATATTCATTTTAGGGCAAATAGAAGAGCAAAACTGTGAAAAATAGAAGAGATGTACAAAATGTTTTTGTGGATTTTAAAAAGGCGTATGATAATGTACATAGAAACAGTTTATGGAATGCTTTGAAGGACTTTGGTAAACCAAAGAAGTAAATAACCATGGCCAAACTATTTATGGAAGACGCATGTAACATAGCAATATATAAAGGCAAAAAGTCAGACCCGTTTCAAATAACATCTGGTCTAAAGCAAGGTGATGCTCTGTCCCCACTTCTTTTCAACTTGGCCCTGAGGAAAATTGAAAGGAAAATGAAACAAGTGTGTAATATAGGAAAATCTACAAGAATGCTTGGTTATGCAGATGACATTGATATCATTGGAGAAAATAAACTAGAGACTGTTAAACCACTCTCTTGAAAGAATCAGCTAAGAAAATGAGACTAGTTATTAATCAGACTAAGACAGAATACATGTTAATAACTAGATAGGGAAAGGATATAAACTCCGGCCACATACAAGTTGATAATATTAAAATCAAAAGAACAGAAACATATAAGTACTTGGGTGCAAACTTCAAAGGCTCCAATATGCTGAGAGAAGAAACACAATCTAGATTACAATCTGGAAATAAAGTATACTATGCCCTTCAACATCTTCTAAAGTCAAAGTGTCTGTCTCGCAACACCAAGATCAAAATATATAAAAGGTTGATAAGACCAGTCGTTTAATATGGCTCTTAAACTTGGAGAACTACTAAAAAAACCTTATTACAGATTTTCAAAAACAGTCTTATGACGAATCAACCACCCATTAAAGTTGCAAACAACGGTGAATGAATAGTGAGAAGCAACGACGAAATTCATGATGTTTCAATCACTATTGATCACTGGCATCATGAGAGCTAATAGACTGAAATGGTTGGGGCATATTGAAAGAATGTCAGATGACAGAGAAGTGAAAACTGTATACCCAATGGAGATGAATGGTCGTAGACCATGAGGCAGACCAAGAAGATTATGGAGAGATAACATCCAGACAGACCTGCAAACACTTGGTGTCATCAACTGGAAAAGAAGACCAACCAGAGAGATGAATGGAGGCGGGTGAGATCTGCAGCAGTGAACCTCAAGGGCTCGGAATGCTGAAAAAGAAGATAGTAGACGTACCACAAAGGGTCCTTCTAGGAAAGCCAGATACTCACCATTCAGTCTTTTTCTTTACACAGACACACACATACATGCACATCCTCATTTTATTTATGCCATAAAACAGTTTAAAATCCACTAATTACTATCATGTTTATCTTTCAGTTGTGGCCGCCAGAAAGATTTGGTTTTTTAGACTTTTCAAGGAGCACCAGAAAGTCATCATCTTGATGTTTGTATAAAATTTGTGAATTGTTTGATGCATCAGAGTGTCAATAATGTGGTGGTCAGTACATTTGCTTGCCTCCACAGTAGCTTACGATTGATACTTGGCAGTGACAGCAGAAATGTAGTTTCTGAGGAGCATGCACCACAGGAGATCTTGAATGGGCAGCAAAGCAGATGCAGTCCTTTTAGAATCCGATTTTTTTTAAGGCCAGTTCTTCTTCTTCTTCTTTCGTTTGCCTGAAATAAGTTGTCTATATCAGCAGTTTTGTTTCTTGTATAAATTTCAGTGCCGTTGTTAGTTTATTCAGTGGTCCATAGAGTTTATGTACCACTGTTGTTCTTTTTGGCCAAAAGGTTTGCCCTAATGTGTCAAATTCGGTGCAGTCCTGGAGTACATGCTCTGCTGTCTGGGGCACCTTTCCACAGGTGCACATGGCTGATACGCCTAGCTTGAATTCTGTGTACATGTGGTTACGTAATCGGTTGTGCCCTATTCTGAGGCGGAGGATAATGACTTGTTCTGGTCTGTCCATATTAAAAAAAGGCCAGTTAACATTGTATTCTGGCTTTTTTTTTTAATACCTTTTATATTTATAATTAAAAACTGAAAAACATTAAGAGTATGCTAACCTTTTCAGCCAGTAAATGAAAAAATGGATCATAATGCTGTAGGAATTTCCGAGAAAACACCCTTTTAGAAATAACCATATTGCACAGGTTACTAAAAATTGTTTTAAAATTGTCATATCAAAGAAAAGTACCAAGCTTTCCTGTATAAGCAGTAATTATCCAATGTATGTTGTATGTAAAACATTTACCTAATGTATGCCTATTATGAATGTCAGTTGAAAAATTGGTTGCTGTATTTTTACATTTACTTTAATGACGATCTTTTGAGAATTTATTTAAACATACAAAATTGTACTAGTACGATTAAATAGTACAGTTAACTTACATTGTGGTTGCCTGTTGTTAATTTTTATATTACAGTTTTCAGTATATTTCCTCTTTTTTCTTTTAATTGTATTTCTTTGTAACTTTTATAAGTGTACATAGTTTTATGTGACATTACTTTCAATCAGAGATAATTGTGTTTGACTGTGGCTTAAATTTGAGTAGAGTTAATACCTGTATGGGTTCCAGAGCTTCATTTTTGGGAAAATAAAAATACACCCACTGCCTCCCAATCAACCATGTCGTAGAAGTCGACTAATTGGGGACTTCCATTGAAGTCGGAGTGCATCTGCCCGAGCGGCAAGGAACAACCAACTGCACACAAATAAGCCAGTAGAACGGATGTACACGTAAAATTCAGGAATGGCACAAAGCCAAAGTCCAAATGGATCAACATTCCGGGCTTTCTGCCAGAGCTTACAGCCGGTGAACAAAGAAGAAGAAGAGTAGAGTAGAATTAACTTTCTCTAGTGAGGGAGCTTTATATGAGGGCAACAATGGTCCTGAAATTCCATGCTCTAATTGTGGAAGACTTTGCTTAACAGGGAGTCAGGTCTTGTTGTTCACAGTCATCATTGGCTGGGCTGGGATTCTCATGTCTCCCCATTAGCACACTGTAACAGAGTCGTCTGGAAAGATGGAAGGGTGCTACCAGCAACAACTTTATCTAGACAGATTACATCAAAGGAAACAGATACTCTAAAATCCGGGACACGCAGGCGTCGATGGAAATGAAAGAGCTGACAGGCTGGCTGGATCCGCTATCACTACCGACGGTCGGCCTATGGATCATGCTGATATTATCAATGCCCTCAGAGAAATGGGAAGGATAGAGGACTTTGGTGGCAGTGAATCCACATCACTCGCCAGAATGGCAGACTTGGGAATTAAGATCGGCACAGCAAAAAACGAGACGCACACCGGACACGTCAGAAGATTTGTTAATCAACATAGAACTGGTACTATTAGCCATCGGACGTTGAGATTCATACTGAGGGGAGGATCTGAGCACCTATGGACATGTCCGGAGTGCAATGATGATAACCCAACTAACTAACTAACTAAGATACTCTAAACTCAAAAGTATATCTTCTTTTTCTTCTTCGCTTTACTGGCTGCAAATTCTGGTAGAAAGTTATGGCTGTTCGACCACTTCTAGACTGTCTTGTTTCAAAATTTGAGTTTAGCATGCACATCCATTTTGCGGATCTGGCTCATTTGTTTGCAGACTGTTGATTCCTTGCCTCTGAGGCAGATGCCCTGCGACTTTGAAGGAAACGACCCAAATTTTACCTTGTATGGCATTCTTGGTTAGGGCAGTGGGTCTGTTCGTTTTTCCGTCAGAATGGGGCCCTGGACCCACATAGGGAATTCATAAATGATGTGCTGTTTCAGAATAACACAACCTTTAAAGTCTGCTTCTTCCTCTTCTTCGCTTTCACCAGATGTTAACTCCAGCGGAAAGTTCTGATTGTTCATCAACCTCTGGACTTTAGACTTGTTCCAGAGCCTGAGTGTTGCGTGCACACCCGTTTTATAAATCTGACTTATTTGTATGCAGACTGTTGGTTACTTGCCTCTCATGCAGATGCACTCCAACTTTGAAGGAACACCCCCCCCCCCCAATTAGTTGACCCTTACGACACACTTGCTGTGGATCTATTCTTGTTTTCCCCCACAGTGGGGCCCCCAGAACCCACACTGGGACCTTTGAAGTAGTAAGAGCAATCTCACAGATTTTGGACAGTGGTATTTCCCGTGTGGGTTCCATGGCCGCCTTGTGGTGAAAACGAGGAAAAAACCCACTACCTCGCAAACAAGCATGTCATAGGTGGTAACTAAGTGGGGGCTTCCTTTGAAGTCGGAGTGCATCTGCCGGAGCCACAAGAACAACCAGCTGCAAGCAAGCAAGCCAGTAAAAAAGATGTACACGCAAAACTCAAGTCCTGACACAAAGTCCAAAAGGATGAACAATCAGGACTTTCCGCTAGAGCTTACAACCAATGAACAGAGAAGAAGAAGGAGGGCTGTGGTACAAGGGTTACACCATTGCGGCCTCCTCACATAATATTCTGAAGGATGGCACTGCGTCCAGTCTTCATTGTGGAGACAGCCCAGAAGAAGCCGCACTTAAATCAACAGTAACAGTCTGAGTGTATATCTCTCTCACCCGTCCCCTAAGTTTTGATCGTCGGCCAGATCCCCCAGTCACTCCTCACTGCACCATGATGATCTATTTGTGCCTCCTCACTTTTACTGTCTTCTAAACGGCCCCTACGTACACCTATTTGGGCAGTAATGTAGATAAAGATGGAGGAACTGATAGAGATATTAAAATAAGAATACAAAAGGCAAGAGGAGCTTTCATAGCACTAGGGAATTTGTGGAAGTCAAAACAAATTAAAAGAAATACTTAACTAAAAATGTTTAATTCTAACGTCAGATCAGTACTTTTGTATGGGGCGGAAATATGGAGAACAACTAAGGCAATTACTAATAAACTACAAACATTCATTAACTGGTGCCTGCGCAGAATAGAAGGAATTAAATGGTATGATAGAATAACTAATGTAGAGCTTTGAAAGAGAACTAAACAAGCTCCGGTGGACCAAGAGGTGAGGAAAAGACGCTGGCGTTGGATAGGACACACACTGAGAAAACAGGAGAACAGCATAATTAGAATGTCTTTGCACTGGATACACAGGGGCATAGGAATAAAGGAAGACCAAAAAACACATAGAGAAGAGAGCTGGAGAATGAAGTTAAAAAGATGGGGAGAGCTCCATGCAATGGCAAAAGGATAGAACGAGTTGGTTGAGGGCCTATGCTCCATTGGGGGATAGAAAGGCAGAAGAAGAAATAGCCCTTACAGCATATAGCATCACTTTACCACCAAGTGGTGCAGAACCAGCCAGTCTATCTGCCTCTTCATTTCCCAGTACACAGTCGTTGGTTGGCACCTTTCTGTCTTTCCAGATGGTAGGTAAAATGGTAAACTGACTGCACTTCTTCACCATCGATGTAGACTGGAAGTCTGTCATTAACACAAGCATTATAAAGGCTGCCGTTAGATCAAGAACGGGTGAATATTCCACCCCTCTGATCTTAAAATGCGTGTTTCAAAGTAAATGAGAAGTGTATTCCAAAGAGAATCGGAGCAAGTACACATCCCTGCTTCACTCCATTGTTGATTACAAACTCCTCCAATGTTACTAAGTCAACGTTGATTTTACCTTTGATGCTTGTGTGGAACGACTCAAAAATGCTAAATTTGGTAGGTGGACACCCAATCTTTTTCAGCATGTAAATCAGACCTTTTTGACTAACCAAATCAAATGCCTTGGTAAGATCAATAAGAGCAATATACAGTGGTTGATTTTGTTCACTGCATTTTACCTGCAATACACAGAAAATGTCCAAAGGACGCTAACTGCCCAAAACCTCTGAAGTGGTGCTTGCCACTCTGCACAGTGCAACTCGCACCTGGGTCTAACCAGAGGGTCTGGCCTGCTCACTGCGCTCAGAGGAAAGGCAAGACGGGGATTGTGACCGGTACCATCAATATTGGAACTCTGCGCTGGCTGCTGAAGATAAGAACGGAGTACACATGGGAATGCCCCAAGTGCTGTGATGTCAATTTGACTCAACACAAAGCATACCTGTCTCCACTTTCTCAGTCAGCACTTTGTGAGTCAGTTAAAATCATGGCGTGTATGCAGCTGGTTCTCAGGTCAGAGGCTGTAGTATCATATACCAGACGTTATTGCGCTAAGTCATATCGTTTGGCTTTTGCTACGAGCATTCACGTATTTCTCCTGCCTCTCAACACAGCCATCTGTATAGATAATCACAACACCCTCAACACAGCCATCTGTATAGATAATCACAACACCCTCAACACAGCCATCTGCATAGATAATCACAACACCCTCAACACAGCCATCTGTATAGATAATCACAACACCCTCAACACGGCCATCTGTATAGATAATCACAACACCCTCAACACAGCCATCTGTATAGATAATCACAACACCCTCAACACAGCCATCTGTATAGATAATCACAACACCCTCAACACAGCCATCTGTATAGATAATCACAACACCTTGCTTGGTGCGAGCAGCCAATCACACAGACCAACGCTTGGTTATGGGAACCAGATGAAATCATACACTGATCAAAGTAATTAATTCTAGCCATGCAAGAGCTTCATATTTCCCCATCATGGGAGAGGCCAAAACTGCTGGATTGGTTTCCCACCATGATACTGAACTGATTGCAAGGATAGAACGGAACAGAGGGGAAGACTCTGAGCCCTGTGTGACATAATGGCACAGCAGGATAATGAATGAATGAGTAAAGAGTTTTGGGACATGTTAGGAGGTTCCCTCACAAATGCGTGGGTGTGGGCCTCAAGGGACATGAGTCCCAAGGTTTCGGTTCCAATGTAGCAGATGCTGTTCCCATAACCAGCTGGACATCATGACGATTGCTAAGACGGCCAGGTAGACCATCTTTCAAAAAGCATGGAGCGAACCTAAGACCTTCAGAGCGCGAGGCAAACTGCTTGACCACTTCGCCACAGTGACCCCAAACCCGTTTGTTTTGTACTTCTGCACTGTGATATCTGCGCCTTTCAACCCAACTCATCCGATTTCAGGAAACTCCGAATCTATCGATTTTATGACATGCTTGCTAAGGGACAATGGATCTATTCTTTTCCCTGACAAAAAAGCCCACAGCAGGGTCGCTGCTCCGAATTGCATGCATTCAAGTAAGCTAAAATACCCATACCCATATGGTTCTTTCAGCCTCACCCCCCGCTGTACTTCATGTTACTTCGGTACAGTAAGAGGAAGCCCTAATATAATCTGACGGTGCTAGATACGTTTTTCTTCCCAGAAAAAGAGTGAATTCCCTTCCCATTTATGCCTTGTCGTGTCGCAGGACCTGTCCTTTGTTGTGAGGGTGTCACGCTTAGAGAGCAACCTGTTACACGTCGCTGTTGTCAGATGCAGGCGAAGTCGCGTGTTCTATATCCCACGATGTGAGCGTTTTTAACACAATAGAGGCTTTCTTGTTTATTTTATAGGTTAGTTGCGTATCCTTTACAGGACGCTGCAGAACCAACCCCAACAGCTCCTGGCTGTTGTGTGGTTTCTCTAGGCAATGTACTTCCAGTAGTTTGCCATTGCTTCCTGGACGGTCGGCTTTCTTGATACCACTGTCGAAATCAGCGCAAGGCGCATGGCCCCCAGCTTGGATCTAACCCGGCATTCCGGCATTAAGAAGCGTTCGCGTCGATTTAGCCACAAAGCCGACGTTTATTTTATAAAGAAACAAAATGTGAAACAGACAGAATTACTGGTATACTGGACAATTCTAGAGAAAAGAATCAACAGTAAGTGATGCGTATAAAAAAGTCCAAGAATAATATAAGCAACATCTATTTCCTTAACAGGTGATAATAAAATGCCGGTCCAGACGTGGCACGCCCATCCCGGTTGTCGTCGGGGCTCCTATATACAACACACAGACTGAACGGGAATTTTTGGGACTTGCGCCCGGGTGATTCTCATCCGAATGATGGCACTTTGTGTCACCGGGTGTTTATCGCTTTTTGTGCTGTTCCGGTGGGATTGAATGTCAGTCAGTCATTGTCATATACTTCCTAACTTACTTACTTAGTCGCTCCTCTTCTACCTTGGGGTGTAGAGGTTTGCCAGAGAGATCGCCAGACGTCTCTATCAGCAGTTTTCTTTCTGGCTTTGTTCCATTCCAGTCCTCTATCAGTTAGGGACTGTTGGATGTTGTCTTACCAGTGGACCCTGGGCCGCCCTGGAGGTTTGGTTCCCTGGTTCTTAGCCTCCCATGCCTGCCATGGTGACCGATTTTCTCCCATTCTGCATACATGTCCAAACCATCGTAACTGTGACTGATCCACTCGGGTTTGTAAGGACTGGGTATCAAGATCTTGACGTACTGTCTGATTGCGGACTTTGTCCCTTCTTGTCACTTGGACCACCTTTCTCAGATATCTCATTTCCGAGGCCTGCAGCTGGCTTCTGTGAGCTGTTGTCATTGCCCAGGACTCACACCCATAGGTCAGGACTGGTAAATAGGTAGAGCGGTAAACAGCCATTTTCGTCCTTTTACCAATTTCTCTTTTGCTAAGAAACCCTCGGTTTATAGCCTGGAATAGTCTCCCAGCAGCTGCTTTTCGTGTAGCCAGCTCAGTCTTAATGCCTCCTTCTCGGTCTAATACAACTCCAAGGTATTTGACCTGGTTAACCTGCTCCAATGCATACTGTCCCATCATGATCTGGTGTTTTTTCTCCTCTCTTGAGATCACCATCGTTTTAGTTTTGGAGATACTGATAGTCATCCCTCTCTTTTCAAGCTCTTCCTTCCAGACTAGTAAGTTGGACTGAAGGTGTGCCTCTGATTTACATTGTCATATAAGATAATTAATTTAGAAGTGACATCACCGCACTAGGGACATTTCCAGAGGTTTTCTCCATCTTGAGCAGCCAGCAGGAAGTTCCAATGACGATGATACAGCTTAATTTTTAAATCATATTTCCACCTTGCCTTTTCTGTGAGTGTCAAGTGTCGTCCAGATCCCATGGTCATTCCTGGCTGTACAATTCTCTCTAGACTAAAGATCGGTCCATTTGTAGCTCCGCATAGTTCACTTGCTCCCAAAGGGCCGTGACCACATACAGCGTGTCTTGCATCAATCATTTTGTCACTGAGCGGTGCAGCGTCAGCCAGACGGTCTGTCTTTTCGTTTCCTAACACAACTGCAAAGATCAAAAGGATGCTAACTACGGTGGACCTCTGAAGCGATCACTGTCCCTCTCCATCAGAGGCTGGAGATGACCGGGTAGTCATGATCTCGAATGTCTGCTGCTCCAAAATACTAACATTTACTAAGGAAAAACGGTAACGAAAAGTAACTGACAATCGTCTCATCAAGTGCCTTGCAATTTGGCGACTTTTAACATCATTAATCAATTCGTGTACTGACACTTATCACCCCACAACAAAAGATTACAAAGACATGAATATCCATTCCTTCTCTTTCTCTCTCTCTCTCTCTTCCTAAACAGCTTTCTAATTGTCTCAAAATATTTTAAATTTTCTTTTTCTACAAAACGTCCATTGTGCAGACACTAACCCTAAAAATTACGACAATTATCACACGTCATCACTTTAAATAGACTTTTACGACAATGAATAACGGTTATTTCCCAACTGTACAACTGCTTCCTTTTGGCGCTACACGAGGACTGGTTGTTGCTGTGGTTTCGGTGTGAGGAGACATTTCGATCAAATAACTGCATTTTTCAGTTACGATTGGTTTCGTTACTCATTCAGAATGGAAGTGGCCAAGCTTATAGAAGTTTTGCGAGCGACACTGGATCCAAACCAGCGGGAGGAAGCCGAACATCAACTAACAGAAGTGAGCTCTATTTTTCGTATGATGAGTGAATCATGAATCATCACTGATGCGAAATTTCTTGTCTTCTTTAATTTTTAGGCTACATTCGTGTAGATCTCTCCTTTTACTTGTCTGCATTCTGCAGAAATAATAGAATTTTCAACATAATTACATTGAAATAGCTACACCAATGTCCTTTGAGCTGGTTTTGCCATTACGCCGCTAGCGATCGATACATTGATTTGTTGACAGTTGTTAACATATTTCAATTCTAACGAAAGGACAGTGAGGAGTGACCAGCTGCGTCCCCTGACCCATAATGATGACAGTCATAATGACAGTGACCAGCTGTGTCCCATAATGGTGACAGTATAATCATAATGCACGTCTAGATTTAATTAAATGAAAACTGCAAAACGAAAAGCAACAATGAAATGCAAAGTCAAAGAAGAATTTGAATTTGGTTGATTTATAGGATGGCTGTTTTCAGTTTTTGTAAATCAAATTAAGTAGTGTAAATAAATGTTTAGCAAGTCTGGTCACCGTCATACGGTAGTGCCTTTAATCCTTCATAGTACAAATTTAGGCTGTCCTTCGAATAACGGTCCCAAATTATCGAGACTAAGAAAATACCCTACTAAGAGGGCCTCAGTCATATGTAAATTGCAGACTTACTACTTCCAACAAATATACCGCATATCATACCGCAGGAAACACTCCTCTGAATAACGGTCCCAAATCATTTAGGGTGTCAACAGCTCCGACACTGAGTGCTAGGTTTAACTTCTCCCCTGGGTCCTATGTTTACCTTTTCCTCTTGGTCTTAGGGTTAGGGCAAGGAGTATTGCAATTACGACACCGCTACTAGAATCTGTCACAACAGTGGAGCCGCGGCACTATCGAATGAAGGGTTATGAATGAAACTTAGGAGGACGCAACGTTCCCACGGCGGCACTAGTACTTAGTAGCAGCATTATTACTGAACATTTAGCGGTTTCCTGGCGCAGTCACAAACATGGCCCTGTTAGGGTATTTTCTTAGCCTCGATAATTTGGGACAATCGTTCAAATTTCATTTTCTATGTGAAGGGTCAGCTCACCCGACCATCATCGGTTATTCACAAGGACTGCAGGAAGAATAACTTTAGGCAACCTCCCATATTTAGTATAAGTATCCTTAATCAGCCTTACTTCAAATAATTATGCTATATGTACACTAAAGGATGTGGGTTACATGCATGTTTTTAGCAGTGAATCTCTTACAGTTAGGTTAACCAATAGAATAATTATAACAGTAATAACCGGCTTAAGATTATTAAAACTGTAGCAATGTAAAAATTAAAAAATAAGTCTTGTTAATCAGCAGCAAGGAAATCAGTCAGAATTTTGAGAGCATGCATTTTGACATTTTTTCCTGCAGTAACAACAAACTGATGCAAATCATGGACTATCTGTCATTAAGGAAAACATTTTAAAATACCATGGACCATGAAGAAAGCTACCGAGGATACCGACATGCTGAAAGATCTGAACATCAAAGAAGATTGGCTAGTAAAGAAAATATCATGTCTCGGGAACAGAAACATGGGCTATCCAAAAACACCCGAACAGAGCCTCAGTCACATGTCAATTGCGCAGTTCCAGCGACTTAACTTGCTAACTTCCGGTGACCACCGCCGAGAGTATCCCCTACGCCGCTCATGCTACGTGGATTGGGGCTAAACTAGATAGCTGGGACTCACGAGCAGCAGCTTCTGCATCTCCTGCAGCTTTGCTCATGAGTCCCAGCCATCTAGTTTAGCCCCAGTTCACGCCGCATAGGGTATACTCTCGGCGGTGACGGTAGTCGCTGGAAGGTGGCATATTAAGTCGCCGGAAGTTCGCAATTTACATGTTACTGAGACCGCCATAATCATCATCATCAGGTGCCTTGCCAACTGGCGTAGGCGATCATGCCTCTCCATAATCTGCGATCTGCTGCAGCATGTATCAGTTCGTGTGCTGACACATCTCAATGCCATGCAACAAGACTGTCAAGCATCTTCTCTCGTTGTCTTTCTCTGTCTCTCCTTTCACATAACTTTCCAGTGGTCACAACATGTTCTATTTTCCCTCTTCTCATAACATGGCCGAAAAATGATGTCTCCTTCTGATGTCTGTGATAAGTTGTCTTCGGGCTCCCGCCTCTTTCAAAACCTCTTGGTTGCTCTTTTTAGCTGTCAAAGGTATTTTAAGCATTCTTCTGTAAAACCACATCTCCGAGGCCTCCAGAAATTGTTTGGCCTGCCTACCGATTGTCCAGGATTCACAGCCATATGTTAAAACTGGATGTATGTAGCAAGCAAGAATTCTTTTTCTGACTCTCAATGACAAGGATATATTGCACAAGATGTTTTTCATTTTATAAAATGCAGTTTTTGCCTGTCCTATTCTATTTCTTATCTCAGTTATGCATCTTCCATCTAATGTTATCCATGTGCCCAGATACTTAAATTTCTGTACTTGTCCTAAAATAACACCATCAACATGATAATTAGGTAAATTGACTCAACTAGTCATGTATGTACTTGCTTTTGTCACGCCTATATATTTGATCATTGCATTTAAAGGCATGCTATATTGTTCTGATTTCCTCAAATTGACATTTCAAAGGTTCATCACAGAATTATTTTTTTCGGTTTCACAGCACACTTAACCATCTTCTGCAAGTTGCTTATATGACTGATCATGCCTATGTAAAACAATGTAATCCAGCAAGATTATGAGATAATGTAAATGTTTATCTTGGCGAATGATTTGTTTAATGTCATACATGCCCAGTAAATTCGCTGGTACTTCCGAGGCCCCATTATGGGGAAAACATGAATAGAACCACTTTACACACCCCAACAAATAGGAGTCGACTAACTGGGGCCAGGCTTTAAAGTACAACTAAGAACCAAGAGTATTCATACAAATAAGCCAGCTGTTTGAAACAGAATTTGACAGAACACAAAGGTTCTGGAACATGACTAAAGTCTGGAGGTGGACGAACACCCAGAACTTTCCCGCAGAGTTTACAGCCAATAAACGCCAAAAAGAAACCTGAAAGATTTGACTATTTGAATACACACCTTCCAGTATGAACATTTATTTTGTAGTGTGGATCCCTTGAATCACATGTATAAAAAATCCCCACAGTTAAAGACAACTTTGTGAACTGTTGTCACGGTAAAAATTTGTTATTGCATTGGAACTTTTGTGCACTGTATCAGGAATTATAATTTCATGACTGTATTAACATTATTACCTTGCTCAGTTGAGTTTTGTTTCCTTCAGACATTGTTTATATTTGTTTCTTCCCCGGCGCTAGCATAGTTGGTTAAACCTGGCCTAGTGATGAACTCCTTGTGGTCCATGTTCACGCCTGGGGGTAGGTAGAAAAGCCACATTTCTCCAAGATTTATGGTATCTTTCATGAAATCAAGACCGAAGGGTTGCGATATCCATAGTACCGAGTCAAACGGTTAACAATTCATGGTTTCTGGATATTTAAAAAAAATTGATTCTTCTTCCAAAGTCTGATGTCTAGTGCAGTTTGTCAATTCATGCAGTTTAGCACATTGTGGGTTTATAGAAAGGTAGCAATTTAAATATTAATAAACACCAAGTTATGGATAGTGTATAATTAGCTTGTTTTGGAAATTTCTCCTCTAAGTAAAAATTTTCCCTCTGTGGTACCATAATTTTACCAACCAAGTTTCCTTCGAAGTCAGATTGCATCTGCCTGATAGGCGAGGAACCAGTCTAGTCTGCATACAAATAAGCCAGATCTATAGAAATGGATGTTCACACAACATTCAGGTCTGCACGTGGATGAACAGCCAGAACTTCACCGTAGTTTGCAGTCGGTAAAGATAAATGAGAAGATGACTAACCGGGTTTTCCAGATTTGGTAAAGAATACTGTGATGACTGAAATTGTCACTTTGTAACATTTACAGGTTCATAAAATTATTGGCTTTGCTCCAGTCCTCCTGCAAGTTGTTATGTCAGATCAAGTGGACATGCCAGTGAGACAAGCAGGTATGTTTTTGTTAGTGAAATGTGTATGGTGTATTTGGTATGTCTTTAGGGTATGTGCATGTTTGTATGAGCACCCGCTCCATAAGCCTCCTAAGCTGTCTTGGAAAGACCATGGAAAGATTAGTAAACAACAGGTTACCTAATTTCCTGGAAGAAAACAAGGTATGGGTTGACAGCCAATCACCTGAGCACATTCTGCAGACCTGCCCCCTCTGCATACATTACAACTTCAAAAAGACACCTGGCCTCAAGAGCAAAGTGTGTCGAGCAAGCTATGGGAAACCATGAAGGACCTGCTACTTACATGCAAGTTCATAGAGGCAACCAACCTGATGGTCTGATCTGAGCATACGAAACCAATAGAAATATTATTGCAATGATTCACAGGCCACTTGCTCGGACTCCGCAAATTTTTCTGCATTTTCTTTAAAAGGGTTGTGGGCACATTGTGTTGTAGTTTACAGCTAGGCCAATGGTCTAAAACGTCCAGTTTTTAGAAAACTCCTAATTAATCCCCTTTTAGGAACTTGTTAGGAGGCACTAGGCCTGTGCTTCCCTCCCTTCCAATCTAGCCCCCAGAACCTACACAGGAGCACCAAGAAAGAGAAGTGGAAAACTTAGATTAGCTGACCTGAATTTTTAAAAACAGTAAATTAGCGATTAGAATATGATATTTGGTTTCATTTTAACTACTTTTATGGTTGTGAATCTGGCCATGTTTATGATGTTGATTGTCTACAGGTGTGATCTACCTCAAGAATATGTTGACACAATACTGGACAGAGCGGGAGCCAGAACATGTCACTGACAGTATCCCTTTCAATGTACACGAACAGGACAGGCAACCAATCAGAGACAACATTATTGAAGCAATCATCCATGCTCCTGATCCTGTTAGGTGAGTGTTTGTGCCAAAAGATTGAACAGTTTTGGGGTTCTATTTTTTTTTCTTTTTATTTATTTCTGCAAGTCCTGTGCGGGTTCCTGGGCCTGATTGTGGGGGGGGGGGGGGGGGGGGGGGACCAGAATAGATTCCCTGCTTCCCCAACAAGTAAATTGTAAGAGACTAATTGGGGGTTTCCTTCGAAATTGAAGTGCATCTGCCTGAGAGGCAAGGAACCAAGTCAGGTCTGTAAAGCAAATGTGCACGCAACACTCAGGTTCTGGAACAAGTCTAAAAGTCCAGAGGTGTATGAGCAACTAGAACTTTTGCTAGAGTTAACAGCCGGTGAACATGAAGAAGATTTCTGAAAGTAGCAAACTTGAGGTTGTTATCTCCATAGGGGTTGTCCTCATATAGAAACATATGAGGCCAGAACAGTTTTCTGTGTTCTGCATATCTTGGACACTCTTGCATCTGTCATTTTACCAATTGCACATTGATCACATTCGTCGGTGTCTTCTATCTCTACCTTTTTATTGAACAAAAAAAAAACCCTTAACCAGTCATGTCCCGTGTGAAGTTAGAGATCACTGCTTGTTCTCGTATTTTTTTAAAATGATTTAAACGAGATAACTAGAAGGAGAAATAATTATATAATTATTAAATGAAATGATGAGATTTATGGATATCATCAAGAGAGCTGTTCCAGGCAACCAGGGATCGTGATCTGTGCAGATGCACTAGCGCCTACTCCAGTTGGCAGGGCACATGTTAATGATGAATATCTGTAAATGAAATGTTGTCTATTGCTGGATGTAATGCATCTCTATGCCATCTGTCTTATGACTTTTTGATGTGTGCTGATATAAGGTTTGTGTGGTCTATCCCTTCATGTTTTCCAGCCACCTGTAGTAGTGTAGTCTAATGTGTGTGAGGACAAAGTGGATGTAAACTCCAGCAGCAAGTTCAAGTCGTTCATCAACTTCTGGACCATAGTCTTGTTCCAAAACCTGAGATTTGCATTCACATGCATTTTACAGATATGGTTTATTTGTATGCAGACTGTTGGTTCCTCGCCTCTGAGGCAGATGCCTTTTGACTTTGCAGGAAACAGCTCTTATTAGTCGACTCTTAAGACAGGCACACACGGACGGAGGGGATTTACTTTATTGTCATAAGGTTTTCATGAAGTGAGCCCAAATTGCAGGAGGCAGACAGCTTAGCCACTGACAACCATTAGTCCTTTCAGAATGAAAGAGAATAAATTATTGTAGAATCTTCTTAGCATTCCCTGGCTGTAAACTCCAGCACAAAGTTCTGGTTGCTTGTCCACTTCTGCACTTTAGTCTTGTTCCAGAACTTGAATTTAGTATGCACATCCATTTTACAGCTATATCTTACTTCTAAGCAGACTTTTGGTTTCTCGCCTCTGACAGATGCGCTCTGACTTTGGATGACACATTTTTTTTAGAATACAAATCATTTTTGTATTTCTGTTGTTGCTAATTTGTCTTTTCCTGTTTACAGAGTACAACTGTGTGTGTGCCTCAGCCATATCATCAAAAGTGACTTCCCTGGCCGGTGGCCGAATGTTGCTGAAAAGATGGCCATGTACATCAATTCTGACAACAGTGCAACATGGATGGGAGCCCTTCTGTCCATCTACCAGTTTGTTAAAGTCTTTGAGTGAGTATAGTTTGTTGTGCCTTTCTGTAATTACACTGGTTTTTTGTCCATCTACCAGTTGGTTAAAGTCTTTGAGTGAGTATAGTTTGTTGTGCCTTGCTGTTATTACACTGGTTTTTTTTGGTCCATCTACCAGTTTGTTAAAGTCTTTGAGTGAGTATAGTTTGTTGTGCCTTTTCTGTTTTTTGAGAGCCCTTGTTACTGTCAGCAATTGTAAGTTGTGTTTAGTAAATAACTCTGTATTTTTAAGGTTGATACTATGAAGAGTTCTTTTATGTGTGTGTGATCTGAAATAATGTGACATGTTAGGGTCCTTCTTCCTCGGCATCCCTGGTGCAGAGTTTAGGGAGAGAACTAACTCTTTGAGTCCCAAGGAACACATCATGCGTTCATAGGTTCCTACCTAAAAGCCCAATGAACGCATGATGCACCGATTTTATTACTTTCTTTACCACCCCCTGGGCCTGTAATGCTCAGCCCCCTGGGACTCAAAGAGTTAAATAAATTGCGGGGAGTTAAGGAAAAAAAGACACATAAATGGATAGGGCATACAATGAAAAAAAAAACTAGTATAATTGTACAAAATTGTTCTTTTACTGCAAACACTTAGTGAGTCCTACAAATAAACAGAGAGAAAATAGGCAGATAAATAGTATGGCTGGATAAAGCTGCAAGGGGTATCTAAATATGTTATGGCTTGGTATGAACTGGTTGAGAGCTCTTGATCCACTGGGGTATATATAAAGAGCAAAAAAATATGCAGCAGTTTGTCAACCCTGTCGTCCTAAGAAGCTGCGAACTTAGCATTTCCATTTGTGACACATTCTTGTAAATGTCATTTGAACAACATGACTGCTGTGACATGACCCTGAGAAACCGAATTAATAGGTTGTACTGTTTGCATCAGCGGTGTCCATGGCTAAGGCGTTGCGAGTCCGACTCGTAATCCAACGTACCGTGATCGAAACCCACTTCGGGCTGTATGGATTTTTATCGTGGTATGGGATGTCGCAGGTCGACACAGCCTCTAATGGGTACCAGGATGGCTGTCCTGGGGAAGTAAAGACGGCCAACGTAATGCTGACCACATTACCCGATTGGTCCGTAAAAAATATTGGACGCTCTGCCCATATGCCCAAGCGCCGAAAGGCGTGAAAAGGGATCTTTACTTTACTGTTTGCATCTGCACAGTGTTTAAGCACATGTATATGAAATATTTACTAAAGTAGCGCTTAGGTGGATTTTCTTTGGAACAACATGGTTTTTATTAAGCCATTTATACGTGATAGTGTTAGAATTCTGATGGGGTCATTGTTTGAGCTACTTGATGTATTTTTCAAGGCATGTCGGGAATATATCCCATTTCTTATTTCACTCCTTTTATGTTTCTTGACTACTCTCTTAATATATTTCAAAAATAGTTTTAAACATAAATAGCTAAAGGTTTTTTTTTAACGTATTAATGACCTATGTCATATTATTTATAAACATGTTTTTAATGGAATTACCATGAGTTCCTGTCATATTTTTTGTTAAAGTGTGTCCGATAAAGTGATTAAGTATTGCAGACCTACCTAAACTAGAGCCAGTAAAGTTGAATGTGGTAGTGTATATCTGCCAGGTACAAGAGATGTGAAGAGAGACAAACTATGGATGATACAATGGTACACATACTACCCATTATCTACCAGCGCCTCTTGCAGCTGGCCGCAGATCCTTCAGAGGCATCTTGCCTTCTTCAGAAACAAATCCTCAAGATCTATTATGCATACGTCCAGGTAAACGTGAAACGTCTTCTTCGTTTCTATTTTTTTAATTAATACAATTTTTTTTTATAATCAACACCTATTACTGTAGAAGAATGCAATTTAGATGCTCATTTAACATAAGACAGAAAAGATGGCACTGTATTAAATACATCTTTAGACAAAATAGGCCGAGAATCAACCACACTGGCACCAAGAAGGGAAAAAAGAGATTAGAGGATTAGAGAAACAAAGGCATTCAACAGAGACTCTAATCTAACATTGATGAGAGAAGCCAAAGCTGCTATTGAAAGGATTTCACAGGAAAGAACTGAATAGATGATTAGATTGTGAGCCTTTTGTGACATGTAATGGCACAACAACAGTGATGATAATGAATTAACGTGACGTGGAAGTTACATGAAAAAATGTAAAATAAAAAGTGCATATCCGAGGAAGTATTCACTTAACAATAACTCTTGTGGCAAACAGTGTCTATGCTCAAGCATAAACACAAAACAGTAGTCTTATAGTAGCATAGGAAATCAATGTTTGAAAACAGAAGGTGGATTTAAAGTTTGGGCATGACAGAAAATAAATGTCAAAGGGTAATAAAGATGAAAAGGCAAGCACAGAAAAATGGTGGCACTTTAATTTGACGAATATAGTAGAATCTTCTCTTCATGATGTTTGCCCCAATTCTCTGATTCTGTTCTCCACCAGCCTAGCTTCTAATTGTTCCAGGCTCTGTCAATTAATTGTTGGATTTATGTTTATTCTAGAACTATCTGCCGCTGTCGGTGGTGACCAAGGAAGTATTTACCCAGTGGATGGAGGCAGTTCGGCACATTGTGGACAGGGATATTCCGCCGGTAAGCTTTTGGCATCTTGGCTGTGTTCCGGGTGCTTACATGTAGTCTTGCAGTAACAGACTATCCTAACGTTTGCTACTTAAACACTAATTTGTTTCCAAAATCTATAAAGATACATGAAGGGAGAAATCAGTAAACACAAATAGGGTGAAGCATTAAATTAAATACATTCAAAGAAACATTCATCGAGTGACTCCTGACATGACCCTATGACCTTTATCACTGAGGCGTATAGGACAATTTGATGCCACCCCCTTTAAATGCTGTTTTTGGTTAATGTCTTCACATCATGACCACCTAAACTCGGACAGGTGCATTTACTAAGAATTGGACCCAACATGAAATGTTGGTTTTGGCAACTCTTTTCCTCTGTAGATGTTGATATGTGGGCAGGCACCCCTCTAGCTGACTGCTTTGTACTCATAGATAGAACAGTTTGAGAATACTGAAATAATGGTCAAAGGCACCATAGTTTAAAAAATCTTATACAGGTAAATTAGTTTAAAACTGACTTCATTGCATAAGAAAGGGGTATCTCTTTCTATCCCTCTCTCTTCTCTCTTCCCCCCACCCCAGTAATGGCTAACTGTCTGCTGTGTCGCACAAAGCACCAGTTGTGTAGCTCTAGTGATAATCTCCAGGGATCTCTAAAACTGCACTAGCTGAACCGAATGCTAGTCGGAGACACTTCTAGTAACTTGAGAGTGTGTGTGTGACAAACCAGTTAGCAGCTGAGACCTGCTACCAAACAGTTGTTTGTGATATAGGGAGGTGTTTTATGTTCTGGTGGTTTTCCAGTGTTTCTTGTTTCACATGAGAGAGCAAGCTGAAGTATCTGGGAATTACATTTGACAGGAGCCTGTCCTTTAAGGACCATGTGGAGAGTGTTGTGACAAGATGCCAGAAAGGACTTAAGACTATGGCTGTGGTTGACACAGAGCAGAGAATGCTTTTCACACTGTATCAGCACCTGATCCTGTCAGTGGTTAATTATGGTCTGGGAATGCTTAACATCTCAAAGAGTCAGGTGGACAAACCAAAGACACCCCACAGGTGAGGAGTATTTGTCTGTTTTTTCCCCCCGGGATATGCCAGTGTGTTGCGAAATGAACAGACGGACAGGCTGGCTGGCTCTGCACAACTTGGTGGAATACTGATACATGATAAGGCAGACGTGGTTAGTGCCTTGTGGGAGAGCGTGTACAGTTCAGCGGAGCAGATGGATCACTAGTCTGGTGAGATTGATGCAGGGGGTAGTGACGAGAGGTTCTGGCAAATGCTTGAGGCTCAGAGGAAAGGCAAGAGAGACGTTTAATCAAAATGCTACTGGCATTGGTTCGGAACTCTTCGCTGGCTGCTAAAGATGGGGATGGAGCGCTTATGGGAATGCCTTGAGTGCTGTGATGTCAGTTCCTGAATCAAATCAATCTTATTTAATGCCAGTTTGAAGACGATTATTACGTTGTGTTTGAAGAACTATAACAAGTGACTTGGTTCTACATGTGGTAACACTACATTGTCATGTGATTTTTACAGGAAGCTAATCAGGTGGATGAAGAAGACCGGCCAGAATTAGCTTGTTGGAAGCTGAAGAAATGGGCAGTACATATTTTGGCCAGAGTTTTTGAAAGGTGAAGTTTGAGTGTTGTTTTATTCTTTCCCTCAGTGTTTCACTTTTTTTCCTCCTGCTATGAACTTGTGGTATTGAGTGATTATAACACCAACTGTGGTAAACACATTCATATTTATTTGAATCCAGTTAAGTTTTGAAACTTTAAATAAGCAGCAATAATACATGTTAAACTATTTACAGGTCTAGGTAGATTTGGCTACAGATGAGAAATAGGCATTTGTCATCCAATACCAGGTACCCTGATATTGGCATAGTCAGTCATTCTGTGCATATCCTGATTTCCTACAGAATCATCAACACATTTTCATACGTTGCTGAAAGACTCAGGAATTAACTGTTGCTGTCTTCTCCTATAGGCTCATAATAATTTATCCAGTTGTTACTATGATAAATGGATACAACAGAAAGTACAAGATCAGAAAGACCTATCACCTGCAAATGTTACTGTGGCTGTGCCGAAGGCCGTTGCATGGTATGACTAGGCTTCCATTACTAACATTAATCAGTGTTTTGAAAGAACAAAAGAATATGTCTAGACATACTCGGCTTGGATTCAATAAACAGAGCTCCACGTGACTATTCTGGTGCCCCATTGTGAGGAAACAAGACTTGACCCACTGCCTCCCTAGCAAGCATGTCGTAGAAGTGGACTAATTAGGGGCTTTCTTCAAAGTTGGAGTGCATCTGCCTGAGAGGCAAGGAACTAACATTCTGCATACATTTATGTCAGATCAGTGAAACAGATGTGCACACAACACTCAGGTTCTGGAACAAGACTTAAAGTTTATAAGTAGACAAACAACTGGAGTTTACAGCCAGTGAATGCAAAGAATAAACAGAGCAATGTTTACATAGTAGTTTGTACATATATCAGGCATGATATATATCTTTTTTCCTATCACATAAATCAGGCATGGTATATATCTTATTTCCTATCACATATATCAGGCATGGTATATATCTTATTTCCTATCACATATATCAGGCATGGTATATATCTTATTTCCTATCACATATATCAGGCATGGTATATATCTTATTTCCTATCACATATATCAGACAGGGTATATATCTTATTTCCTATCACATATATCAGGCATGGTATATATCTTATTTCCTATCACATATATCAGGCATCATAAATATCTTATTTCCTATTGTCCCATTATTTTCTTTTCCTGTTCCACTATTTCTCATTTACTGATACCTGCCAGGGGTTTTAAAAAAGGTGATTAAATAATTTTTTTTTTTTTTTTCAATTACAGATATGGTAGTCCAGAAAATGTGATCAAGGAGTATAATGAATTTTCAGAATGGTACCTCAAGACTTTCTCAGGTAATATATTTTAACTGTATTTTTTTATGTTGGTACAGTGGTACCGTATCTGAAGATTAACATGGAGCTCATTCAGATTTTTGTCTGAACAGTTTTTAACTTTTGAAAGACAGGGTTTTCTTATGTGTTATGGGGGAGTGTTTGCTGCACTATATGCCACTTTATTTTAATAGAAGGTGTTATAAATTATAAGAACAAAATCACAAAACAGTGAGGAAATTGTCGGAATATTAAAATCAGGTATTTATTTTCCTCGCTTATCCCAAGATTTGTCATTAATGAGAGAGCAGACAAATGGAGCTACATACCAGACAAGCTTTAGGGGACCGGCTGCAACTGTAGGCACATATTCCTGTTTGTGACCAATAGGTGACTAATTAAGATAGTTGATATCGATCATAGAAGAAAAAGTCATTAATAAGGGATCAGTCTTGGTTTATTGAGCATGACATGAGATGGGGAAACTGGTGTATTTCTTTACATCATTAAAGAGAGTTCTGAGAAGTAGGGGGATATTTGATCACTTTCATTGTGGCATGGAAGGACATCTACATCAGAAATAAAGGTTAAAGCCGATAGGATACACTTTATTGCACTGGGTTTTCTCTCTTATGCATTGGTCTCTAGCTGTCGGCGACGAGTATCACACAAAACACCCTAGCTCCGGCAACAACCCCAAGGAGTCTCCTTAAAATTGAATTCATGAACTGAATGACAGTCTTGAAATGAACACTCAACTTTCAGGGCGCGATCTGTATCTGAAATGATGCCTTAAAAAAGTGTCACATACATGGAAAGTTTAGAAAGCTTACCCTGTGAGTTTGGTAGCTCCATTTTGGAGAAAATAATAGCCTACTTCCACCCAACAGGCATGTTATGAAAGGAAACTATTTACTGGTGTTTCCATTGAAGTTGAAGTGCATTATCCTGAGAGGCGAGGAACCAACAGTTTGATATCAATAAGACAAATCCTGGAACAAGTCCACAACTGGACAGGAAACCAGGGCTTTCCATCAGAGTTTTCAGCTGGTGAATGCCAAGAAGTCAGATGTTAACATACGAATTCCAAGGCACCAAAAAATTAAAAGTTTGTGTTAAAAAAATGTGTGCCAACCAGGGACTAACAGAAATACATCCTTCTGGGACCTCAATTTTGTTATTTGTTCAACCGGATGTGCTTCTTATGCCAGTTAGTTAGTTGGGTTATCATCATTGCACTCCGAACATGTCCTTAAGTGCACAGCTTCTCCCCTCAGTATGAACCCTAGTATCCAGTGACTAATAGTATCAGTTCTGTACATGTGCCTAATGTGCGCCTCATTTTTTGCTATGCTGATAATAACTCCCAAGTCCATCATTCTGGCTAGTGATGTGGGTTCACTGCCCCAAATTCATCCGCCCTTCCTATTTCTCAGAGGGCATTAATAATATCAGCACAATCCATAGGCTGACCGTTGGTAGTAGTAGCCTATCAGCTCTTTTATTTCCATCCCCACTCACAAGGTTTTACTGTGTCAGGGTGAGGCCTTTGGTCTTTTTCTGTGTCTCGTTTGTCATATGACCATTAATCTGAATTTGAAATTTCTAAAATGTTTTTTTTTCCAGCTGGAGTATTAAATGTCTTGCTGAAGTTGTTGGAAAGCTATAGACTGAAGATGTATGTTGCTCCACGTGTCCTTCAGCAGGCACTCAACTATATCAATCAGGGGTAAGTTCTCTGGAGATGGTCCTGGTGTGCCTTTGTTCACTTGTAGTTAACAAATATGCAGTGTTATAGTGCTCTCATCTGCCGGGGGTATTTTGTCAGCATGTCGGTGTTAGGTGGACTTGTTTACATAACATGTATTAGCACAGATGAAGAGTGGCAGGCGAGTGTCTTGACTTTATTTGGAAGAGTTCCCCATTGGAGGGGTGGGGGGTAGACCCACTGCCTCATCTGACAAGCATGTCATAGGAGGTGACTGATATGTGTTTCCTTTGAAGTCAGAGTGCATATGTCCAATAGGTAAGTAATCAATAGTCTGCATATATAAAAAAAAAAAGCTAGATCTGGTGAATATATGCACATAAAATCCAAATTTCAGTGAATACTAAAAAGTTTCCCATATAGATCGGCCTTTCTCTGCAGAATGGCTGCCTGCCTGCTGAGAGTCCCTCTTTTATATATGTGTTCGCTTTCTGATTTACACTGAAAGACAAGTTGTAATATATATATATATATAATGCTGGCTGAATATGACTTTAAAAAAAAAAAAATCAGCCTTTTGGTCCAATATTTCTGACTTCCGGATCTTTTGAGATTAAGATTGGGCTCACCCTTCAACTTTAATGTGTTTGTTGTCCCATCCAGTTTCCCATTGGGGTTTAATCACCCAACCTTTCACTCGATTGATGGGAAGAACAGGGTCCCCCACATGAAGGTGAGGTCGGCTTGAGCAGGAAAGGTTAATATACATTGAGAGTCTTATATTGCACATCATTGCTCCATTGGACTACACTGAGTCTTACGCAGCACACATTTTGCATTGCCAGCAGGGGTCTGTGAATAAAATGCGCATATAATCTGTAGTAGAGTCTAAACACAAACACACAAGGTTTGGAGCAGAAGACATACAGCTTCACTGTCAAACACAAGACACAAATGGTAATTGCCACTAGATAAATACAGCTGTGCTCAATACAGTTGTATTAATGTGCATTTACAAACTACATTCTGGGAGGGAAAGCAGTGGCTGCAGCACCAGAATTAAAAAAAATAATTTATTATTGAACTGGGCTTCCATGACAAATCAGTTTAAGATAGATACAAGAAAACTTCCTGTAAAGTAAAGGCAATCAATTTTGGTTTTTACTTGTACGATCCATGAGACGTCTGTTATTACTCTGTTGAGAGGCATTTTAGTCTGCCGCCAGACTATGATTCTGCAACTAGAATTCGTTTAGGATTAGACCTAGTTTGGTACTGTTTCCTTGACAGGTTTTGGATATTTTTTTTGGGCCCAGATATAAGTTTACGGAGACAAATGATGATATTGCTGTAGTTAATATTTACTTCATATTATTGTACTAGATCATAGTTCTGATTATTTGAATATTCTGTTTATTCATAGAATCAGTCATGCCTATTCATGGAAGTTCATTAAGCCACACATGCAGGTATATTATTGTCTTTTCTGTTTTCTCTGTGTACATGTAAGCAATGATGTATCTCTATATTTATTTGCTATTGTTGTGTCGAAAGGTTATGAAAATGTGAAAGTTTGCAGTTGAAAAATATTATTTGACCTGTCAGCTCGACAATGGTCACTTGTGGTTCATATTTTTATCCTCTTGTTAATTTCCATGATTATAAAAACATCAGTGGAGTGAGTGGTTCTTGGAAGAGCAGGCAGGAAGCAACTAGTGTGACTGCGGGTGAGCTGGAGAAGGCCTTGATTTCCACAGCTAATATTTTCCTCATGTGGGTGATAGGGCCCCATTGTGGGGGAAACCAGATAAACCCACTGCCTTCCCACAAGAATGTTGTAAGATCAACTATTGTTACATGGTGGGAGAGCTTGGGTAGGACTGAATTTCTTTCATGCAAGTTGGGATGGGATGGCAGCAGTGTTCTGTTAGTGACCTGCTACATGATGAAAGCTAGATGTGAGGTGATAATAGTCAAGTCACAGTTGCGTGGAGAATGGATACATGCATTTGTTTACTATTTTAATATTTCTTTTCTGCTGCTGGAATAAAATGTCATTTACTTGAACACCCATTATTATTCTATTGTTTTGTACAGTCAAGGTTGATGATGTCTTCTGACAGGTTATGATCCAGGATGTTATCTTCCCATTGATGTGTCATAGTGACGAAGATGAGGATCTGTGGACCAGTGACCCGCATGAGTATATAAGAGTCAAGTATGGTGAGTACACACATGTTACATACTTACCAGTCCTCTCCTTGTGGCATGCAATTTTTCATTATTGAAAGCCCCACCCTCCCTTTTGCCGGGGGCCCTGAGTATAGCTGGGCCACTGATGTGGCCATAACGGCTGAAAGGGGTTTCTGGAAGCTCTCTACGGGTGATCCATATCTGCATGGTGGCACTTTGTGTCACCGGATGTTTATCACTTGTCTGATTTCCCGGTTGGGTACAGCAAGCAAGTAAACACATTCTTGTTTCTGGCACACTTGTGACCCAGTTTTGTGAGTTAAAGGCCTGTAATTAAAATTTATCTGACAGCATGATTTCGTATCGTGGGCAAATAAGTGAACATGATCCAAAAATGGTTATGGAAAAGTGTATTAATAAAGCAGTTTTTAAAAAGAGATGAGTTTTTGAATTTTGTGTGTGTGCTCAAAGTACTGCTTGATATATTAAAATATGAGTTTACACTATACACCCCTGCGTTAAAAAAAAGGTCCTTTACTTATATTTTTTCACATAGGGGATCGTTTCAATAATTTGAAAGTCACTTCTTTGTATTGACTAGACTGAAAGTTTTGCCCTAATGCTGACACCCCAATTACTGAAAATTGACTTGTAATCAGAATGAAGTCCACAATGTTTTGAGTTGTGTGTGTGTGAGGGGGTAGGAGGTCCTGGTTCAACCGGCCGGTTGTGACCCTTTTTTGTTTAAACAACCCTTTCACAGAGGTAGCCTAAGACCATCGGAAATTACATATTTATTGAATTTGTGAAGGAAAATAATTGTTTATGGGTCGCAACAACATGAGGGTACTGTATTAAAGGGTGAGAGCCACTTCTTTAGATGCATTGTTTGTGTTTTCCACAGATGTGTTTGAAGATTTCCTGTCACCTGTGATGGCAGCTCAGACTGTGTTCCACTCAGCCACTGCCAAGAGGAAAGAGGTGCTTAATAAAGCCATGGGTTTCTGCATGTCTGTACTCACCAACCCCAGCTCCATGCCCAGGCAGAAGGATGGTGCTTTACACATGATTGGAGCAGTTGCTGAAGTGCTTCTCAAGGTTATTGTTTTATCTAATAGTTTATTTATGTCTCTCTCTGTCTCTCTCTCTCTCTTGCTCTGTGTGTGTGTGGGAGTAATGCAAACGGTACAGTATGATAATTGTAACCAGATTCAGATCATGTGAGCAGTTTTAAAAATAGAACTGTTATGACTTTGTTCATATATGTTTTCATTTAAAAGTTAGCATTCACATCTGTATCATTCAGTCTCTTTCAGCATTGTGAGCCTGTGAGGTTCATTGCTGTGGATATCACCTGCCCCCACTCATCTCTGTGTGATTCACCCCCTGTTTCCAGTTCTGCACACCCAGGTGCTAGGGTATTATATCTTCACCATCTTCTTGGTCTTCCTGATGATCTGTCATTTTCAGGTCCCTTGTTCGTAAAGTTTTTACCTCTCTGTCATTATCATTCTCTCTGTATTATTATCATTATCTCTTCCATTTGCCAGCGATGATTTCAACAGAGTTTGAATTTCGTTGTTGCTTCTCTCTTCAAGGGGAGTCGCCGTGGATCGGAAGGTCGTCAGTTCGCTCCCTCACGCAGATGGACAAAAATGACCTTGGCTGCCAGGTCGACCCAGCTTTGAGTGGTTACCCGGTGCAGTCCCGGGAAGTAAAAGCGGCCGGCGTGATGCTGACCACATCGCCCAACTTGTACCGATTGGTCTATTTAAAAAAATGAGGTCTAGCCCTATACGCCTACTGGCGTGGAAAAGGGCCCTTTACTATTTTTACTTCACTTTCTCTCTACATTTCCCACTCTTTGCATTTGTGATGGATCATCCAGTAACTGTTTCTGTCTTTATTCAGAGAAAAATCTACAAGGATCAAGCAGAACAGATGCTGACAACCCATGTATTCCCATCATTCTCCAGTGAATTTGGCTTTCTTAGAGCCAGGGTAAGTGCACTTGTGTACATGTGTATATCGTTGCTTTTTGTTCTAGTAATGTATGCACAAGGATGTAATGTAATGGTAGTAATATGGCATATTTACTTTTGCCACTTTGAATCTTAATCCTAGAAAGGCTAACCTAGACAAGAAATGGTTGGGTTGACTAAAATATTGCATCTATGTTGTAAGCGGGCACAAAGAATAAAGAAGAAACCTGATCACATTTTTATCTATCAAGCCTGCTACTCACTATCAATATGGATGAAATATGTCATATCTGAGTGCACAAATGCCGTTCCTGTTTAGTGATTTGATTCTTTTTTTATAGCCACCGGCTCAGGCTCTTCCTATCCCTGATAAAACAATTTCAAATTTTTGCTTGTCAAATTCTTTCAGAGAGCAACTGCACGAGAGGTGAGGAACCAACATTCTACACACAGCTAAGCCAGATATGTAAAATGGATGTGCATGCAACACTCAAGTCCGGGAACAATAGAAAAATCTAGAAGTAGACAACCGAGGCCAGAGTGCCACGGTTACCAGATAAATTTATGGGCCTCATATCATATGCTTGCTTTGTCCTAAATAGTTCCTACTTTAAGCATACAACATTCACATCTCTGGGACTTTTCAGTGTGAGCAATTGGGAATTAAGCTAACACTTACAATAGACTAAGTTAACTTAACAGACCTTTGTGGTATCAGTCAGGTACAGTCTCAGCAATGAAAGTTGGCTGCTAGGGATCTCCAGCACACTTGGTTTCAGACTACTGTTCGTCCATCTCTTGATGTTTTCCTCCTACTTGTATTGTTGTCCATCTCTTGCTTTATTGCCCTCGACTGTTTCCTCCTAAATGATTTGCAGATGTCTTATAGTGTGGCCAAAATATTTCAGTTGTCTATTTAAAAAAAAAAAATTCTTTTCATAATTTTCGTTTCACTTGTAGTGTGTTAGATACCTCTGTATTTGATTGTTTTTGTTTCCATGACAACAACCTGTTCTTTTGTATATCCACATTTCCAGATACTCAAATAGATTTTCTAGTTGCTACTTCCTTCTTGCAATAACCAGACAAGTATATTTTCTTAAGACAAACCAACAAACACATGATTGGTTGCTTTGGACAATGCAAAAGCTGTGTTATCCATTTAAACTTACTTTCTCTTTGTATCTAATTTTTAGCGCCTGCAGTTATTGGTTTTCTATTTCTCTCTGCCTTGGATACTCCGTGGAACGTAGTTCTTTGACTAACTCACATCAGATCTTGCTGTCTTTGGTCGGTTCCTTCATTTGTTTTCATTCAAAAATCTTTCGCTGTCAAAGACATTGGCAGTTTTTGTTTAAAAAAAAAAATAGTACCTGTGTGGGACTGTAGGAGTTAAAAGTGTCATACAGTGAGCACACTGTTTAGATACCTAATGAGGTGAAAGGTTTTTGAACTGTGTACTGGTTTTGCACAAGTGAACCAAATGTGGAGTAAATCTGCAGTTGACATTTGTCTGCAGCAATGGGTAAACTAGTTTCTTGCCTACGTTCAGGCTTGCTGGGTGATCCGCTGTTTTGCTGAGATGAAGTTTAAGACTGAGCACACCTTGAAGACTGCTGTCGACCTGGTCAAGGGAGCACTGTGTGGGGACAAAGACCTACCTGTGAGGGTGGAGGCTGCCATTGCTTTACAGATGCTTATTACAGAACAGGAGAAGGGTAGGCTGTTTGTTTCTTCTATTTCACTACTTTACGCGCTAGGTAACTCCTTTCACAAACACTAAAGACAAAAATGGGGACTGTTAAAGTTTAACCCTGTCGCCAGAGAAGGCAGGAATTAATGGGCAAAAAAAAAAAAAAGAAGTAGCCTCTGGGAATTCCCCCAAAAAAGTCACATTAAAAAGGCATTAAATGGAATACATCCATCAGCTCTAGATAAATATTTAGGTGACCCCCTGACCTCTATCATTGAGGCTGTAGGAAATTTATGTCGTCAGCTTGGCTTTAAAAAGTCATTTGATTCACACGGGAGCTCCTGAAGTATTTTAAATAATTATTCATATACAGACCTAAACATTGCACAAGCACTAAATCGGCCAGTGGCATTAACTATGCGTCTCATAAACATGTAGAAAAGTCGAAGTAATCACATTTACAGAGAATGGTCCCAGCTGGAAGTGTCAGTTTTGCACCTTCTTGGTAAGAGATATATGACAATGTGAATGTCTAGAATATGTTAGTGACATGGCATTGTTTACCAGCATCGAGAAATGAAAATAGTTTGTATACAAATTCTGAGAAGTGTTGTCATACAAAACTGAAGAATAATAATGTTGCAGGTTTTGAACAGAATATGCCGACCTAGACACAATTTTACGAGTGTTTCTAGGACAATTGTGCTGAACATCTTATTGTAATTGAAACCTGTCTTGACAAAAAATTAGGAATTTGAGGCAGCATAATTGTCTGTATAGCTGAAAGCATGGTGGCTACAGATGAAGGGACAAGCAGACAATACACATCAGCTACACAACTTATCGCCAGTAGATGAATTCATCACTGGTCAGGACTGTATTTTCTGTCTCCTATGATCACATCAACACTGCAGGAGTCCCTTTTAGGGCTCTTGATGGCGTGCAATGCTAAGCCTTTTTAAATGGTGCACATAACCTATTCACAATTGTATCCTAAAGCTCCCCCTTCGCGGAATCTGATTGAGCGTGACATTTTTTTTTATTAAGCAAAGCATTGGATCGACAAGCAAATTTATGGTAAACTTGACTATAAGAAAAATATGGACCTTTCCTTGTCTATGGCATAGATAAGTTGAAATTATGTGATCAAATGTATTGGCTTTATAACATTATCCAGTTTCATTGAGTCTCTTTCTTTTGTTTCAGCCAAAAACTATGTTCAGCCATACGTGAAGCCTGTCATTCTAGGTAAGAAAATATGCTAGAATTCATATCTGCACAGTTTCTGGAAAGAGTTGATGTTCTTGATAATCTAAGTACCATAAACAGAAATTAAACTTTACAAAGAACTGCTCATCTTCATATTATCACAGTCACGAACAAAAGATGAATGTTGTCACTAGATAGCCTTCATTAGCATATGACAGAAACAGTCCGTGATACAGTTAAAGATTGACTTATTAGTGGAGGTCTCTTATAGAAATCCCCATCATTGATGTACAGGCAGAGGACTGAATTGGAGAAACACTCATATCTGCAGAGGGGGAAAAGAAGCAGTCATAGAGATTTGATGGAAGGTAGGGAGGAGACAGTCTGACTGTTTTCCTGCTGTGCTAAATTAGATCCACTAACATGAAGTGATGTAAATATGATTAGTGAGTGTTCTTGAAACAGCAGAAGATAATGTGTTCCTGTCCTAAGAACTGGAGAACCCAACCTGAAAGCAAAACACTGGATTGTTTGATAGGAGCTAGTCACTTGCCCGCCCTGAATTCTGTCATCTTATATGTATGAATGCCCAACATTCTATAACCGGCTAGCAGTACATAAACGTATTGCATTTGTACTTGCTTGGGTTTAAGAAAATAATGTGTTGAATAATTGTGTAATTCTCAGTTGAGAACTGACATTCCAACATACAGGACACTCCCATAAGCACTTTGTCCCCATCTTCAGCAGCCAGTGCAGAGTTCCAGTACCAGTGCAGCTAGTGGCAGATTGTGAATCCATATCACATTTCCCATGAACTTTGTCAGCAGATCCTCTAGTCACTCTTCACTGCACCATTCTTTTGAGACTATTCTGATCTGTTTGTGGCTGCACACTGTTCGCTCGCTCCGAGAGAGCCGTGACATCTAGTGTGTCATGCATCAGTTTATCGCCAATAGGAGCAGAATTAGCCAGTCTGCCTGATTGTTTCCCAACACACCTGTATTCCAAGGAGAAAAAATGTTAAACATGCAGGGGACCTTTGAAATGGGGCTTGCCAGTCATCACGGAGCATGCCTGTCTCCACTGCTCTCAGCATGCTTTGTTAATCTGGTACAGTCAATGTGTGTGTGCAGCAGAAAGTGTTTTGTGTGGAAAGAATGCTGAGTGGTTACTGCTAGAACCTTCTCTGTTCATTTGTGTGATGTGGTCTGTTGACAGAGCTGCTGCAAGTGATACGGGAGACAGAGAACGATGACCTGACTGGGGTCATGCAGAAGCTGGTCTGTACTTACGTGGAAGAGGTCATCCCTATTGCAGTTGATATGATGACACATTTGGTAAGTCCATCTTTCACATACTTCAGTCTGTTAGTTGATATTAGAAGTTCTCTTGTGGTCCTGAGGCATAGCGTCCGTCTCGAGTGCTCGATGTCCTGTGTTCAAGCCCTGGTGAAGTGGTGGGATTTTTTCTTGTGGGCTTCTAGTGATTTCCTCTGGTATCTAGTTAGTAAGATCGGACAGCTATGTGTATTTTTGCGCACATAAAAAAATCCCTAGGCAGTTGTAAATTGAAAAAAGTAGCCTGTTTGCGTCGCCTGGGCAAAATTTTGAGTTTAAAATCTACCCAAATTATTTTAGGATCTTTGCCGGTGCTACAGAGTTCGTGCACTGCGCTGAGATACTTCAGACTCGGGCCTAAGTTAGAAGAAAAACCGAGCACTTATTGGTTACTAGCCTTGTGCCATGATGTTGATCTGTCACCTACATCCGTCATACATTTTAGACCAAAAGAACCATTTCTGTCATACATAATGGGGTCTCACTAGTTTTGCACAATAAACCATTTTTGATTAATTATTACCAGTTTCCTTGAGAAAGGAACAGCAACAAGAAAAACACTAATTTACTATGAGAGTGTGTTTGAATGGATGAAGAATTGACATCTATGCACTCAGGGCATACCCACATAGGCTCTGTACCTATACCCATCTCATTAGCCAACCGTGAGTTCCTTTATTGTTAGTGCCAGATACACTCTGATGTTAATGCTACCTTTTCCTTTGCTGGTAGAAAATCTTCCAAACCTGCTTTCTCCTCGCTGAACCAGATACTCTGTTCCAATGCACAGTCCACTGGATCCCAGGTCCCCTTTGTCATATTTTACCCCCCACCCCAGAGAAGCGACAGCAGCCAAACTGTCAGCCTACTTATCACCCCGTAAGTTTATAATGGGTGACCAAATTTGTAGGTATGATAATTTATTTCTCAGCCTGTAAAAAGCTTCAGTTGCAGAATTCAGCCAAATCCAACCAGTTTGATGAGAGTTAACGGATGACAATACCGCACTGGGAGGTGAAAGATGAAAAAGAAAGGTGAAATGTTTTTTATTCTGCACACACTGATGAAGATGATACTCTGCAAAATTAAAAATTGGTGGAAGTAACACAAACCTTGCCACTTTTGTCTTATGATGATCAGGATCCATAGCATGCAACATTTACTTAAAGATGGAGCACCTGTGAGTTTGCCCTAAGAGCTGTATTGTTGGAACAAGTTAGACCTTCTCTAATCAATGATGTTGTTGATGTCAACAGGCACAGACATTTGCTCATGTCGTGGAATCTGATAGTGATGGTTCTGAGGAGAAAGCCATTACAGCCCTGGGTATTCTCAACACCATGGAGACCATTCTCAACGTGATGGAGGACCAGAAGGAGGTCAGTGTTCTCTGTTTACTGATGTTGGTCCTATCCTTTCTTTATCATCCAGATAGTTGTTTGCTGTTTTGTGGTTTCAGACCTCTCGTGGTTAGTGTATATGTGGTAGTATGGAATGTTATGGTAGACCTATGGCAGGAATAAATTTAGTAAACCCTTACAGAGCCTCAGTCACGTGTCAATGGGACAAATAAAATGAAGGAAGCTGCAGGAAATGCGGTAGCTGCTGCTCGTGAGTCCCAGCCATCTAGTTTAGCACCAATCCACGCCGCTAACGTGGCGTGGGGGATACTCTCGGCGGCGGCAGAAGTCGCAGGAAGTGCGCAATTTAAGACGACGGAAGTGCACAATTGACATGTGACTGAGGCTTTGTTAGGGTATATTTTCCGCCTCAATAATTTAGGACGGTTATTCAGAGGATAGCCGATTTACATGTCTGAAAGGGTTCAAATATATTAGATCAAAAATGGAACTCGAGTCAGTTTTTTATGGCTGGTAATGGAAAGTTAGTAGGTGTGGTTATAAAGTCATACCCAATTGAAACATTCTTGTAACTCATTAACCGTTGGGTGTAAATATTTATATTTGACATGCAGCCTGTTAATAATCATCTCCTTATAGAAAATTAATTATAATGTAAACAATCACCTTGTTTATATATTGTCTTGTTTGTAGTATATGAAAAAACAGGCTCCGACTCAAAGGTATTCATTTAAAAAAATGTGCTGGAAAGGGTTCTCTGAGGTCAAGTGGTCAAGCCATTTATCTCACGCTGTGAAGGCTGTTGGTTTATTTTACGGATTACCATTCACTTCACGAGGGCAGTTTATATAGAGATCTTGACAGATCCTTTGTGGAGTTAAGGATTTCATGCTTTGTATGGCAGATAGCTAGTCATTGTGTGGAGAGAGGCTGCACATAATGAGGACGCCTACTGCAGCTTTAACTTTTAGAGTGTCAGAAAGTTATGGTGGATTTGGGTCTTGAGCAAAGATTGTATCCGACTCATTGCTAAAGGAAGATGTGTTATAGTTTTCATTATGTTTTCTTTCAGATTGTCGTCCAGTTGGAAGGGATTGTTCTCAGTGTAATTGGCATTATTCTTCAAACCAACATTATCGGTAAGTATCATTTCTCTCTCTCTCTCTCTTTTCTCTTCTACCTCTTATTTTATTTATTTCCTTCTCTGTTATGAGTACTAAACGAAAAGATAATACATGGTTTTCAGTTTTATTGCATAAAATTCAAAATAGACAAATGTGGCATGAATTGAGTAGGTGACAAGAGACTATTAACCTTGTGCCCCGATGATGTGAACCAGTATATGAGGTCAAGAGGGATGTTGCAGTCACTTCTAGACTAACACCTTTCTTATTCTGACTTGTGTCTTCTGTCCAGCTTGTTCTACCCTTGTCCTGTGTTGTCACTGTCTGACTACTGCACCTCTTGTCTGTCTCCAGTGACCGCACATTCAGACCGCTGATGGTGATTATGAGAGCTGAGGGGCATTTAAATGAAAATGGATTTTTTTATTTTATATGTGACCTTGATGTGGTTTTCAGTCTTTTGAACCATGATCATATTGTATATTTTCGCTTTATACTGCATAAAGTAAGGAGCAGCTAAGCAAATGCTTAAAAAGCTGAGCTTTTATGCAAGAAGTTTGGTCTTAAAAATTTGGTAGGGTGATAGGCAAAAAGAAACAACCTAACAGGCAGTCTGTGACTACTGCATAGGCAGGCCAACATAGCAGATAACAGAATATTTGTACCATTTTGGTATTACAGTTTTTTTTCTTCTCTCGGATTGTAGTCTGTAGTTTTATGCTTTTTCAATGGATCAACATCATGGCACACGGGTGTAACCCATAAGTGCTCCGTTCTACTTTTAACTCAAGCCTCAGTCTTTTCCTCACCTCTTGGTCCACTGCAGCTTGCTTAGTTCTCTCCCAAAGCTCTACATTAGTTATTCTATCATACTATTTAATTCCCTCCATTCTGCACAGGCACCAGTTAATGAATGAATGTAATTTATTAGTTATTGCCTTGGTTGTTCTCCATGTTTCCGCCCCATTCAAAAGTACTGATTTGACATTAGAATAAAAATTGTAAGTTTAGTATTTCTTTTGACCTTCACAGATTCCTCTATTAGCTCCCCCATCTTTATTTTCATTACTGCCCAAATAGGTATGCGACTCCACGTCTTGGAGTGGGGTGCCATTATGAGAAACCACATTACTATTTGCCTGATTTATTCTCATTATCTTTGTTTTTGCTTTATGGAAAGCCGTTACCAGAGTTTGAACCCAGTACCTCCAGCACTCGAGGCGGATGCTATAGCTTGAGACCATGCAGCACCAATGTAGTCTGTAGATTAACGTTTGAAGGACGAGAATCAGAGAGTTATGAATCCCAGAAACCCTGTTCGACCGTAAAGCCATATGGAACTTTTATATTGGGGCACCACAAAACTGTTATGAAGTAACCTGTAGTCAAGTGTGGATGGGTGTAATGTATTTTAGTATTGTTAGGTTTGAATACTTGTTAACACAGCGAAGATAAAAATGTGCACTACCTTCTTGTGGAATTTGTGAGATTAGGCTGAAGCACTTAACTCTTTCACTACAAGAGGACAGCTAAATTAGTTATAAATCAACACATGATAAATTAGTTACAAATAAAATCATAATCAAAATAACAAAAGACACTAACAGTAGTTTCTTTTCTGGCATATTTCGCTCTGTCTCGTCAGGTGTGTACTACAGTAACAATTGATTAAAATGAAGCAATAAATGAATCCTTTGAACTGAAACACAAAATCGACTACATTCAAAAACTATGCTTCACCAGGGTAAATGCAAGGTGAAGAGCATATCCTTTTGTCTGTATAATAAATTTAATATAAATCAATACAGGATGCCTGTGTTCCTTGGTATTGAAATAGTTCACCTCCTTGTACAATTACCCTAAACAGGTTTGAACAACACAGACTGCCTGTAGCTACATTTTCTATTCAGTTTAAGGTTTTCATTTGTCTCAGGGACTGCCTGCATTGTTTTGCTTTTCTATCAAAAACCAAGAATATATTGCTTGTGATACCAGTTGCCTTCTTTTTGCATGTATGAGTATACTGTTTCACTTGTGGCTTTCTGCACTGTTTTGTATGTTCACAGATTTTTATGAGGAGGTTCTCTCCCTAATCTACAGTTTGACCAGCTCTCAGATTTCCCACCACATGTGGGAGGTTTTTAACATGATCTACCAGATGTTCCAGAAGGATGGCATTGATTACTTCACAGGTACTTGCTGTCTTGAGATTGTTCATGTTTCATAGCTGTATTACTTACTTAGTTAGTTACTGTGTCAAATCTTTGGCAGACAGTTCACCCTATACTTGCTCCTTCTCTGCGATGGTGATGACCACCAGTGCCCAAGTGACAGCTCTGTATCTCAGCCTCTTGGTATTTTTGCGTTGTACCATTTCATAAAAAATACCATTTGTGAATAAATATTGAGAGTAATGCTGTTGGTCATGTTTGCACCTGTACAGCTTTTAGGCCAGGTTACCAGTATATCTGCTAACAAAAAAATTAATGGGGGTTGGGGGGGGGGGGGGGGGGGGGGGGTCTTGTGAACCAGATGGCTTTTTTTTAAAGCCAAGTTGACATCTTAAATTTCAGGTTGCCTTAAAGATAGAGGTCACAACATGAGTCAGCCAAAATATATTTATTTTAGGGGGGAGGGAGATGTATTAGATTAAGTACTTCACTCTGGTCCTGTTTGACTGCCCCCTTTATATGTCTTTATGTATGCACACATTTTAAAAATCCTTAAGGGAATTCCCACATCGTCATCGTCATATTTTTGCGACAGAGTTAAATGTAACAAAACGTCACATTATTTTGATGTCAAAACAACAGCCTTAATCAGAAACTTATACATCGTAAATTAACTGTAAATATCACATCTAAAATATAGATTTACTTACTGCTGTGTAGAAAAAGGATGTGGTGATGAAACAGAGTTATGAACATCTTCACCCTGTCTCTTTCTGTCACTGTCACAGCTGTTTTTAAGTAACTAACCCCAGGGGTCTTTAAATGACCAAGTTTTGCGCACCAGGATAGTATGTCTTATTACTAGCATTCGTAATGTACCAGCACTCGTAACATACCAGCACTGTGTAGTAAGGAGGGAACATTCTGCATTGCTGCATTCATTTTTGACCCTGTGCCCCGATGATGTGAACCAAAATATGAGGTCAAGAGGGATGTTGCAGTCACTTCTAGACTGACACCTTTCTTATTCTGGCTTGTGTCTTCTGTCCAGCTTGTTCTACCCTTGTCCCCTCTTGTCACTGTCTGACTACTGCACCTCTTGTCTGCCTCCAGTGACTGCACATCCAGACCGCTGATGGTGATTATGAGAGCTGAGGGGCGTTTAAATGAATTGTATGATTTTATCTTTGTCAGGATTGCTTCTCTGTTTATCATTATTGTTTCTCACTTTATCGCTATTATTTCTATTGCTGTTATTGTTTCTTTTTATAATTATTTTTTTTATTGTTTGTGTTGTCTCTATTGCTGTCTTTGTTTTATTCTTTTTTTAAAAATTATATATATATATATATATATAAAATTTTTTCTTATTGTTTGTCTTTATAGTTACGGCTTTTTTTTTCCTTCTGTATTTAATGTTATTGTTTCTATATTTACCATTATTGTGTCTATATTGATAATTATTTTGTCTGCCTGTATCATTATTGTCTATCATTAATTTTTTTTCTACCTTTATGGTTATTATTTCTGCCTTGAAACATTATTTAGTAGTTGTCGTGATCTGTTGTCGCCTCTTTTGTCTTAATTGATCACATGGGTGATTGGTAATTTTAGTAATTCATATTATGTATTTGTTATATTTGTTAGTTATGATGCATTGTTTGGATTTAATGAGGGGAACACACAATGAGCAGTCATTCACAGCATAACTTGAGTTCATTTGTGTTAACTACACTTGTGTTAACAAAGTCCATTAGGGACGCAACTTTAAACTCACCATCATGAGACTGGCTCTACTTCATACTGTTGAGAATTAGGTAAAAAAAAATTAGGACAACTGCAAAAGGTGGTAATTGGTTTAGAGGTAATAGGAAAGCTATTAACCTCTTGATAAAAGGGAAGATTGCAGGTCTATATATCTCAGCAGATGTTTTTTTGGCCAATATACAACTACAGAACTGCTACACAAATTATTCAGTAAAGTCTTGGAGACTGGAGAAATACCAGCAGATTAGATAAATGAATATCTGATGAAACTGTCCATTGTCATTTATTAAGACCCATGCCTGATTGGGAGATGAAAGGCGGTAGAAAAACTTAGTCTGTGTGGTACCAGGGAGATTTTACAAATTTTTTTTATAATAAAAATATCTTTTTCAATATTCTTAGTGTTATATTGTGTTGCATGTGAATCCAGTGCCCCGATGATGTGAACCAGTATATGAGGTCAAGAGGGATGTTGCAGTCACTTCTAGACTAACACCTTTCTTATTCTGGCTTGTGTCTTCTGTCCAGCTTGTTCTACCCTTGTCCTGTGTTGTCACTGTCTGACTACTGCACCTCTTGTCTGTCTCCAGTGACTGCACATTCAGACCGCTGATGGTGATTATGAGAGCTGAGGGGCGTTTAAATGAATTGTATGATTTTATCTTGGTCAAGATTGTTTTTCTGTTTATCATTATTGTTTCTCACTTTATCGCTATTATTTCTATTATTATTTTTGTTGTCTTTATTTATATATATATATATATATATAGTTTTATTGTTTTGATTGTCATTGTTCGACTTTTGTTCTCTGTTTATTGTTATTATTTCGATATTTATTTTTTTTACCCATTTTTACCATTATTGTTTCTACCTTTATGATTGTTTCTATATTGATCATTATGGTGTCTATCTGTATCATTATTGTTTGTATTATTTTTTTCTACCTCTATTGTTATTATTTCTGTCTGGAAACATTATTTTGTAGTGGTCATGATCTTTTTTTTTTTTTTTTTGTCTTTATGGATCACATGGATGATTGGTAATTTTAGTCATGATCATCATAAACCACTTCTGCCATTAAGCGTCGTGGGGTGGAATAATTTGCGATCCAGTGCACGTTGGCTGCCACTGGCTATTGTCATGCCGTGAAGGCGAAGTGTGTCTTTAATGTTGTCGGTCCAAATTTTCTGTGGCTGTCCTCTTGCTCTTGTAATTGATCTTCTGAGATGTAGTGCTTGTGATGGTATTTGATCTTGCTGCATTCTAACGAGATGGCCAAACCACTTGATCTGCTGTTTCTCGATGAATCTAGTACAAGGTGTCATTTCCACAATTTGCCTGATAGTTTCATGAATCGCTCGATCTCGTATGGTTAGGTTGGCTGCTTTTCTCAGGCATATTTAATAATCTGTGGTAATTTAAGTAATCCATATTATTTGTTATATTTGTTAGTTATGATGCAGTGTTTGAATTTCAATTATTGCTAGCCATCTTTCATGAGGTGAACACAAAATGAGCGGTCATTTACCGCATAACTCGAGTTCATTAGGGATGCAACTTTAAACTCACCAGCATGAGACAGGCTCTATCTCATACTGTTAAGAATTAATTTTTAAAAATTAAGAGTCTGCAAAAGGTGGTGGTTGGTTTTAAGAGAATAGGAAAGAAGGAAAGATTGCAGGTTCATATATCTCAGCAGATGTTTTTATGGCCAATATACAACTACAGAACTGCTACACAAATTATTCAGTAAAGTCCAGGAGACTGGAGAAATACCAGCAGATTGGAGAGATGAATGTCTGAGGAAACTGCACATTGTCATTAATTGAGACCCATGCCTGATTGGGAGATGAAAGGCGGTAGAAAAACAAGATTTTACAATTTAAAAAAAAAAATTAAAATATCTTTTTCAGTATTCTTAGTGTTATATTGTGTTGCATGTGAATCCAGTGCCCCGATGATGTGAACCAGTATATGAGGTCAAGAGGGATGTTGCAGTCACTTCTAGACTAACACCTTTCTTATTCTGACTTGTGTCTTCTGTCCAGCTTGTTCTACCCTTGTCCTGTGTTGTCACTGTCTGACTACTGCACCTCTTGTCTGCCTCCAGTGACTGCACATCCAGACCGCTGATGGTGATTATGAGAGCTGAGGGGCGTTAACAGTATTTTATATTGGCTTCTATATTGATTGTTATTGTTGGTAATGCCTGTTTTGTTTCTTAGGCTTTCCATTTGTTACAAGTTGACAGTGTCAAGGCACTAAATGCTGCCAGTTGTTAAAGAAACACAGGAACTGAATAACTTGATTCCTTTTCAGAGAAAAGGGCCAACATTATTGGTTTCACCAGTTAATGTTAGAGAAAATTTCTTCTTCTTTACCACCACTTTTACCGCTTCGGGTGTTGAGGGAGATATAAGGTCCTGCTCCGTGATCTTCTGGCTGCTTCGACCATAGACACATTGTTTCTCTGTTATCTTCACATCTTGTTCTTGGTCTACCTCTTGCTCTACGTCCCTCTCCTCTTTTGGTATATGCCTTGAATGGTAATAGCATCATGGGGCATTCACTGCAAGTGGGCAAACCACTTGATTTGTTGTCTATGTAATTTAGAATTGGTTCTGTGCCGACTTCATCTCGTATGACCTCATTCTTGATTTTATCTCTTCTGGTCACTCCTAGTCTTTTTCAGACACATCATTTCCACGGTTACTAATTTTCTTTTGTTTTGTTGTGAGTGACCACATCTGGCACTGAAAGCACAGGCTGCTACTAGATTATTAAATTCCTCCTATTAGAGGAAATCTGAAGAGCAAGATAGCGCTGTGCACTATGAGAGAGTTAATTTTACTGGCTGCAGAACCTTCTATAGCAGTTTAGGCTATTTTCATCTGCCTGTCTTGTATTGTTGCCACAATGCAGCTATAGTTGTTCTGATTTAATTATTTTCAGACATGATGCCAGCTTTGCATAACTATATCACTGTAGATACTGAGGCATTTTTGGCCAACCCAAGAAATCTGGAAATTATATATAACATGTGCAAAACAGTAAGTAGCAACTTTCAGCAACCTTATTAGTGTATAAGGTCCCTCCAGATATTCAACCTTTAAAAGTGTAACTGGATATCAGCTGTCAGATAGCATCTAAAGATGCAATTTGGAAAGCTATTAACCTCCTGAAAGAAGGGAGACATGCAGGTACAGATGGTATCCCAGCTGAAGTTGTTATGACCATTATGTCTGGTAATTCAGTGAAGTCTAGGAGACTAAAGAAAAATCAGCAGATTGGAGGGAAGAATGTGCAGTGAAACTGCCCAGGCAAGAAGTCCTACAAATGAGACAATTTTAAGAAAACTACCTAGATCTATGTCTGGTGTTTGAGACTTTTAAGAAAACTACCTAGATCTATGTCTGGTGTTTGAGACTTCACAGAATATTAACAGATCCCCGCATGGGTTCCGGGGCCCCATTGTGGGGGAAAACAAGAATAGATCCACTACCTTCCCAAGCAGCATGTCGGAAGAATTGACTAATTGGAGGCTTCCTTTGAAGTCGTAGTGCATTTGCCTGAGAGGCCAGGAACCAACTGTCTGCATAAAAAAAGTCAGATCTGTAAAACGATGTGCTCAGGTTCTGGAACAAGTCTAAAGTCCAGAGGTAGTTGAACAACCAGAACTTTCCGCCAGAGTTTATAGCAGGTGAACGTGAAGAAGAAGAAGACTAATAACAGAACGAGCACATAATATCTGCAGTTTAGCGTTAAAGTGGTGTATAGACTCTGTTGTTACAGGCATGTAAAATATGAACAGTAAGCAGGCGAGCTCAAAAATATTTACTCACAGCAGTATGGTTTTTTGAGAACAGTGCCAATTTTATGGAGTGATAGAAAAGTCAAACAAGGCAGGCAGTCCATGATGTAAGTGAAAACCTTTACCTGATTAGAAAATGTAGACAGTCTGTGTTTAGGCGTGTTGTTTGACGGAATGGACTTGAGGACTTGGTAATGACAGGCAGGATTGACGGGGAAAGGGAAAGACAAAGATAGCTTGGCCATATAAGTGTGACGAGACAAGAACACTAACTTGATTCTGGTGATTGTGTGAGATGCCAGAATAGGACAGCCTACACTTATTGGCACGGCACATAATGGTGATGCTGTTTGAAAGAAATTTATGTTAATGCGATTGGCTGACCCTGACTGCGTCATGTTGGTTCGTACCTAAATCTAGACTTGGTGATGCTATTTAATATCTGATGTATGACGCTGAGTTGCAATCTGGATTTCCACAGGTCTTGAACACTGATGTAGGAGAAGATGCAGAATGTCACGCTGCCAAGCTTCTTGAAGTCATCATTCTTCAGTATCCAGGCAGGGTAGACCATGTGAGTTTTATCTGTTGTTTATTCTACCAGACTGAAGCCATTACATTGTGAGGTACTGCTTAAATTTGTTTTATTCATTTATTTCATTATTACCACACTGAAATGCATGAACTGAAGCAATTTGAATATTCTAGAGTACCCTTCATTGTTGAGAAAGCTGCAGCACTAGTCATCCATATCTAATGGATTTGACAGGGTAGAGCAGTGGTTCTCAGCCTTTCTAACACTCGGGCGAGTGGGACCAGTGGATACAGACATTTGGCTTTTTCCTACTCTGTACGAATTCTGATCGTCGGACTTTGAGCTTGCATGTGTGCCGTGGGGTATAACTTTGTCGGACGTTATTTCCTAGCCAGCTTATGAAGAGTTGCTGCCGTGGTGTACCTCAGCGCGGTGACGACAACACTGAGGATTGACAGAGGATGTACGTGGGTAGGATCTTGCTGCGAGAAATCGCCCACAAGAGATGTTACTCGTCTTGGCTGCGGGTAAATCTCTCGGTCAGGGTTGAGTCTCAGCAGCACAGTTTTCCATTCGCTTCCGAATTTTAACCGAGAGTTGTCATTTGATGGTACATTTAGCAAGCAATCCTTACTCATGTTCCGAATGAGTTTTGTTATACTTTTCACCCATGCGTTTGGGGGCGGGCTGGTGAGAGCCAGAAAGGGCACTACACCTCTAGGGGCCGCCAGCTCCGAGATCCCCTGCCAACTCTGTTAATGCTCATTTTAGATATTATCCGTGGCGCACGACGGGGACGTGCAGCAGGAGTCTTGCATGAGGTTCCGTAAAACCAGAACAGTGAAGGACTGGCGCCCGAGTGGGGTACGGAATATCTCCTTATACACATCACATCAGACTTAACTTCCCCTCATGCCTGTGACCGAAATCACCGCACCACACCCTTTAATACAGTTCCTTATGTTGTGGTGACCCTTTAATACAGTTCCTTATGTTGTGGCGACCCTTTAATACAGTTCCTTATGTTGTGGCGACACTTTAATAAAGTTCTCCATGTTGTGGTGATCCTTTAATACAGTTCCTTATGTTGTGGCGACCCTTTAATACAATTTCTTATGTTGTGGTGACCCTTAAATACAGTTCCTCGTGTTGTGGTGACCCTTTAATACAGTTCCTCGTGTTGTGGTGACCCTTTAATACAGTTCCTCGTGTTGTGGTGACCCTTTAATACAGTTCCTCATATTGTGGTAACCCTTTAATACAGTTCCTTATGTTGTGGTGACCCTTTAATAGAGTTCCTCATGTTGTGGTGACCCCCAACCATAATATTATTTTTGTTGTTACTTCATAACTTCTGTAAATATGTGTTTTAATATGGTCTTAGGCTACCCTTGTGAAAGGTTCGTTCGACCCACTAGAGGGTCACGACCCATAGTTTGAGAACTGCTGGGGTAGAGCAGGGAGGACTAGGCTGTAGAACTTCACAACAGGCTAATGATTACGCATGGGTATCTCACAAAGTAAAACAACGTGGGAAAGCTGAAAGGCGGTGATCACTTGTGAATGGCTTATGTGTCAACAGCAACGCTAAGAGGGTATAGGTAGATCTGAGCAAGGGCCTCAGTATCAAAGGGTGAAAACACATCTTGAATGCACTGACTAGATTCGCGAAGTTATAATCTAGATATAACATTTAAAAACAATTGCTGTTGGTTAGTATAAAAAAATAGTTCCTGGGAAGTAAAGGAGGACAGCGGGATGCTGACCACATCACCCACCCAGTGCCAATTGGTTTATATAATATAGGTCTAGCCCTACATTCCAAATACGCCTTAAAGTGTGGAAAAGGGACCTTTTAATATAAAATAGTAATGGTGACTTGGGTGCACAAGCCTGTGAGCCTAGTCTTGCCCCTCCCACTGCACCCCTTGAAAATGTGCAAAGGGAGTTAAGTGTGCCTCAACCATGTAGAGACTTAAAAAAGTATTTTTAGCATGTAGTAATAATAATTGCGCACTTAAACAATGCTAAAACCCCTTCAGGCCCCTCTCCCTTCTGAAAATTGTAAGGAAAAGGACACCTTAGATGATTTCTTTGTGGCAGCACTTCTTCTTCTTCATTCTCTCTTACAAGGGCAGTTGGAACTTGTGTTGTAATTTACAGCTAGGGTGCGATATTTGCACTAAATCAGTCTGAAACATCTGATTTCAGCAAAACTAGTTGCCTTTTACAAGCATGCTTGTTATGGGGATTGGTGTTATTATTTTACCCACCATACGCACACAGAAATGAAAACCACATGGGGGGAGGGGGGTGAGGGAACACTGAATGTTGAAAGGGCTATACATAAATACATTATAATCAAGATCAGAAGTATATGTAAATAGTTACATGTAATGATTGTTGCCTTATTTTCTCCTAGGTTCTTGGTTCCTTTGTGGAGCTGGTACTACAGAGGCTAACTAGGGAAGTTCAGACTTCAGAACTGAGAACAATTTGTTTACAGGTAAATTGCATTTGTAAATTTTCAAGGCAGCAATGCCAGTCTGTGGAGCCAGAAATTGAAAGCCAGTTTGTCATTGCTTGTCTCTCTTCTCTCCTTCTTCTTCCCTCTGCTCCTGGAATGCCTCGCAGCATCAGGGCAGGAAGAGATCTCTGGAACGGCCCCTTCTGTTCGCTTCATATAAAGTACTATTCAGTGTCTCGAATGTTTCTGCATGGTCAACTTCTGGCTCTGTTACCGCTGTATCTGTATAGGATTGCTCTCTGTGGTGCCCTGTTTTGATGATGCCAGTCTTGTATCATCATTGCTATAACTTTGCTAAATTCTTTGTTGTGTGTTTATTGTTTGTTATAATTTCTTGTTATACTTTCTAAATCCTTAGTTTATAACTATTACACCAGTATTGACATGAGGGGAAGATATAAAGAAAAAATGCTCTTTAAACCTGAAATACATAGAAAAATTCAAGGAGACAAAGACTTGCAGCATGAAAAATGTCATGTTCTTTAAGTTCACTGAGTAGTTTTGGAAAGTAGTATTGGGGAAGTAACAGTATTTCGATGATTGTGTGCTTCACTGAATTACCCTGTCACCAGCCAAGCAATCTTGTATGTTGTCAGTACTGTGCAGATAGCTGACTTTTCAACTTGTGTCCCATCCAGGTGGTGATAGCCTGCCTCTACTACAACGCACCCCTGCTGCTGGATATTCTCAGCAAGCTGCAGATTCCCAATATACAAGGTTCTATACTTGGTCAGTTTCTCAAGCAGTGGTTACGTGATACAGATTGCTTTTTGGGGTAAGTGTTGTCGACTCTGTTAGCCAGATAACTATCTACATATTTGTCACAACCCCAAAACACTGCTTTCTGTCCAACCTGACTAAACTTTTGATGTTTTATTGACCAATCAGCACGTGGTGGATGATGCAGTCAACATCGAATAAATATTTTAGTTTACATAAATCGTCACAGTTTATGATCCTTTTTTTTTTTTTTAAATTACTTTTACAGCTTACATGATAGTCAGTTTATTTTAAATCATTAAAAAAATGTTTTACAGCTTACATGATAGTTACGGTTTATTTTAAATTATAAAAAAAATGTTTAACAGCTTACATGATAGTCACGGTTTATTTTAAATCATAAAAAAAATGTTTTACAGCTTACATGATAGTCACGGTTTATTTTAAATCATAAAAAAAATGTTTTACAGCTTACATGATAGTCACGGTTTATTTTAAATACTAAAAAAGTGTTTTACAGTTTACATGATAGTCATGGTTTATTTTAAATCATTAAAAAAATGTTTTACAGTTTACATGACCGCAAGATATGCGTCCTTGGCCTTTGCTCTTTGCTCACCATGGTTGGCCAAAGACCTCAGGAGGTTACAGAGATAGCGCCCCAGATTTTGCCGGCAGCTCTACTCCTTTTTCAAGGTCTAAAACGTGCTTATGCCAGTGAGTATGCATGTATCTTGTTTTACTGCTAGTTCTGTGTAGTTATACTGCCAGTTATGTGTTCTTCTGTGTAGTTCTACTGCTAGTTCTGTGTAGTTAAACTGCCAGTTCTGTGTTCTTCTGCTGCCAGTTCTGTGTAGTTCTACTGCTAGTTCTGTGTAGTTCTACTGCGAGTTCTATGTAGTTCTACTGCGAGTTCTATGTAGTTATACTGCTATTCCTTTGTAGTTCTACTGCTAGTTCTCTATAGTCCTACCAGTTCTGTCTCTTTCACTTTACTTCCTAGATGAAGAATAGCTGCTCCTTATTTAATAGTTGTCATTGTTAGGCTAGCTCATTGTCTTGAGTAGAATGCCTCAATGTTAATGGGAAAGGGGGGGGGGGGGGGGGGGGGGGGGGGAGATATGCTGACCAGCATGTTGTAAAAGGCAACTAGTTTAAAGTTTGCTGAAATAAAATAGGCTGAAAAATGCAGAATAATCAAAAAGATCAGTGGCCTGGCTGCAAACCACAACACAATATTCCAGCAACCATTTTAATGACAAAAGCAGAAGTCTAAAATGTTAATAACCTGTCACAGAAATGATTATAATAATAAAGTAATGAACTCGAGGAACTAATGTTTGAGCAGAGAAAAAATATGTCAGTTAAATCCTCTGAGTTGGTATATCAGAATGGTGCCATAAATACAATCAACGCATGTAACAAGCATATCTGTCATCATCCAGTATTTTTATGCTTCGCTGTATTACAAGTCTTACTTTGATATATACCATTTTCTTTTTTTTTAAAGAATTCTTTAGTTGATGCCCAAGACCTCTGCTTTGTGTGTTGTTGGCACATTGTTCTTTGTGCAGCACTGATTATCCTTAAATTTCTAAAAGTGTGTGTCCTTGAATTTCAATTTTTTTTTTTTTTTTTTTTGAAAACTAGTGTTGTTCCTTTACACATGACATTCTTTTTTGTTATTTGCAGGTCGGGCACTTGATGAAGAAAGTGAATCTGATGACTCTAGTGATGAAGATGATGAATATGATGGTAAGTGTTTTGTTTATTAGACTAAAATAAAATAAAACCAACAAATAGTTAAGTGAAGTTTATTTTCCATGTTTGGAACCTTTGTTGGCTAGACACAGGCATGCACAGAGAGAGAGAACTTTGTGGCAGCTTACTATCTTCTGTCAAGCGTCCTGAAAACAAAATCTTGACAGTCTGCTTCACATTTTTATAAACACAATATAGGCTAAGAGAGCCTTCATCAGCATATTACAGTAAATCTACAAGTACAAACGAGAATACACAAAATCACTTAAAAGGTGCATCTCTGATTGAAATCACATCTGTCTCTGAACAGTAGGATGTCTGACACGTTTGTGGTTGCCTGAAAAATAAAGTATTATGCTTGTTATCATGGAGTAATATCCATCATCCCTCTCTGGGGTAATGTTCTATTGTAGACATTAAAGAATGTGAGGTGACATGACCACCACAAAGTTTCATACTGGTTAAGACAGTAAAGCATATTTTTGTAGTGTGGCTTGTCCACAGTTTAGCTTTTTAGCTTACATTCCGCTTGTAGACATGCCTTTCTGCAGATGCAAAGCTTCAGTGTTTGTCTTGAATGTCCTGTGCTTGGAGAAGGAAAGATATGCTTTGCACTAATAACTTAGTATTGGAATTTTCATTCTAAATGGGTTGTATGAGCATATGGAGTTGTATAAAGCTACAAAGATAAATCTCTGACACTTAACATGATTGTGTGACATGGGAGTAAAGCATGGTGAAGCATGTCTAGCTCAACTGAGTTTGGAGACATTAAAACCAACTCATGAGAACAATCAGTAGAGGTACCTTGGAGTGGCTGCTGCATAGAAAGAGTGGGAATACGTTGTCTGCAATGACGTCAATTGATAACATAATATTCAGCCACAGTTGACATTTATTACCATCTGTATTCTTGTATAGTAGACAGAGCACATGTAGTTGGGCTGTCAGTACAGCGTTTAATTATTAGACCAGCGGTTCTCAACCTATGGGTCCCTTTTGGGGGGGGTCAAATGACCCTTTCACAGCAGTCGCCAAAGACCATCGCCAAACACATACTCATTGAAGATATGAAGTAGCAACAAAAATAATTGTATGGGTGGGAGTTGCCACAATATAAGGGAACTGTATTAAAGGGTTACAGCATTAGGAATGTTGAGAACCACTGTGTTAGACAATGATGAAAATGTTGGTTTTATTCGGGTGATTGTACGGCGAAAGTCACTAACATCTAGCAAAGCTGTTGTCTTGTGTCCACAGGAGAGGTTTTATCCAGTGATGAAGATGAGATTGATGAGACTAGTCAGCAATATTTGGAGCGGTTAGAAAAAGCTGTAAGTCATCTCATTGTACTGCATGTGTGTGTGCCTGTTTGTTGTATTCTTTCTGAAATACTGATTCTAGTTTTAGCATAAGCCGCATATTTTTTTTTAAATTACTGCTTTGAGATTTTAAAAGAACATTACCATAACTATTCTTACCACAGACTGTAACGGTCAAAGTTGTGTGTGAATCACATTAGGGCTAGCTACCATGTTGAACTTTTGGTAATAGGTGATTTTGTAACATACTACCACAAATATACTTATTTATGATTATAATAATAGTATGATTATGTTGACCATAATGGGAGGGGGTTTGTTTTAACTGTCTGAGTGGTCGCAAATTGAGGGAGTCATGATCTCAGTGACAATAAAAAAAGGTAACTGTAAAAGGTTATTGATTTTACTAGCAGTGTTTAAAACAACTGTAAACTGTTAGCAGTGTTTTACATTTTAATCTAAAATGTTTACAAAGTTTACCTAACACAAGCACAAATATTCCAGCCCTGCTGTAAATGGGCACAACATATTTACGTCCTCAGAATAACGATAAGTAGGATAAACCTTAATAAAGTAATTAATTGTAGACTGCTTTTATAATTAAATGTATTTTTGTGTGTGTCAAGGATCGTGGTGATGATGACAGCGATGAGGAAGTAACTGACGATGGAGCTGAAGAAACAGCCCTGGAGGCTTATTCCACAATTCTGGATGCTCAGGAGTGCTCCATTGACGAATATGTGATATTCAAGGATATATTGACAGGTATTGCAAGTTGTCAGTTTTCTGTTTGCTTTCACATATTATATCCAGGTTGTCCTGTGACAGATAACTGTTGTTGTCTTCTTCTTAGCGCTCAATGGCTGTAATGTTCGGTAGAAAGTTCTGGTTGTTTATACACTCTTGAACTTTGGTGTTGATCCAGAACTTGAGCTTTGAGTGCATGTGTTTTACATATCTGTTTGTTCTTTGCCTGCCAGGCAGATGCACTCAGACTGTAAAGGATACTCCTCTTATTAGTCGCCTCTTACGACATGTCTGTTGGGGGGGGGGGGGGGGGGGGGGGTAGTTTGTTCTTTGTTCCCCAAAAGTTAGCTCAGGAATAAAAACATTTTGTGTGAGATTTTGATTTTAAAACGCAGTAAATCACCCACTTGCGCACTTTAGAGGTTGGCTGGTGTCAGGTACCTAAACTACTCTTCTTGTTTTATATGGCTCGCTAGGTAGGCCAGCTGACAGACTCTACTACCCAAACACACTTAAGACGACACTCCGGCTGAGTACAACCATTAGTATAACACTTCAACTGGGCTAAGCAGCTCCCATCCGAAGCTGCCTTGGCGATGACAGCTTTACACTCACTAATCACCCCAGGCCAGCTCCCATGGATCCAGGGGGGCACGACTCTTAGCTAGCAGTGTCTCAGTGTCAATCAATCCGCCGTCGATTGCCAAACGGGACTGCAGCGATACACGAAAAGTGTATGGCCTAAGCGTGCCCGGGCAGTGTTACCGCCATTACAAGGCGCGTCACCTATGATTAACTGCTTAAACAAATACTACCTGTAATATCTACTACGCAAAGACCTTAACTCTCTCGACTATCTAGCCGACAACATTAGCCTATCACAGACACTAAATACGAATATCCTATCTGTACCTAACCATCACTAACCTAACGTTCCCTCGTCGTAAACTGTTGTCCTGTCTCTCTCTCTCGACCAGCACACAACCGCCGTCCACAACTGTCCGCTCACAAGTCTCCCCAAACCCGCTTGGACCAAGCCTTTTGTATTTCCCCCAAGTTCATCGCCAAATCCGCAGCACTCCTTGTCAGGCTGAGTGAACTCTACCTGGCCTCTAAACTGTGCACGGCTTATTGCGTGAACGAGCTATACGTTCACACACTGAGTTTGCGCTGGAGGTCAACTGGTACAAGCGTGATGATTCACTATGAGACATTTGTTGTGCTTCTCATAGCCGAACTGGCCTCTGACAGCTGGGTATATAATGATTGTCTGAGATTTCTATGTACTAATCAGCACTTTTTTGTAATGTGATCATTCTCACATAGTCTTTACTTTTCAAGACATCCTGCAGTATCCATGTTGTGTTGGGTCACCCTGGGAAGCCAGGCTAATTTGTCAGATCTGCCTTAATGAGGAATTAGATCTGTGGGCTGACAGGGCAGCGTTCTAGCCACTGTGCTTCAGTGAAGTGTTTGACATTTACTTATGACTTGCTGTGAGATGGTTGAAAGACCAAGTTTATTGAAAGCTTCTGTTGAGTTCTGTTTTGTTTGTTTATCTGGTACAGTTTCGATTTGTATACTATTTCCTGATAGGCTATCTGGCTGATATTTTGCACACACATTTATGGATGGCAGTACAATGTGGTGTAAAATTATCCACATTTTTATTTTTGTAATGAAGCTCGGACAGTTCCAGATTATTAAAGTTTGAACCAGAACCACTGACTGAGTAAGCAAGCAGCTGTAATGCTCGCATGACTCCTTAGTTGAAACTATGTATTTTAAAGATGAAAAAGTTGATCTTCATGGCTGGATGATTAGGCCTTTTGTATGTCTTGCTCTGAAGGTCATAGGTTCGTTTCACAGTCGCAGTTGCAGATCACTGAGGATTGCTGGAGCTGCTGAGTTCTTGTGTGACACTCTCGGCAGGTGGCTGACCTTTCTCTGCAGAAAGCCTGAGCCATATTGGATGGCATAGAAATCAATCCTCTTGACTTTAAACATTTCAACAGCAAATGTCTCTGGTGCCCCGATGATGTGAACCAAACTATGAGGTCAAGAGGGATGCTGCAGTCACTTCTAGGCTGACACCTTTCTTATTCTGGCTTGTGTCTTCTGTCCAGCTTGTTCTACCCTTGTCCTGTGTTGTCACTGTCTGACTACTGCACCTCTTGTCTGCCTCCAGTGACTGCACATCCAGACCGCTGATGGTGATTATGAGAGCTGAGGGGCATGCTATTTTTTAAATTTTCAGCCATATATTTTGTAAAGAGTTTAAGGGATGCATAGGCGCTGAACCACATGAAGTGGTCTGTCAGGACCAGATCTCATACCGGCTAAGTCTATACCTCTCCACAGTCATCTTGGAAACATGTTCTCTGTTCCCCACTAATGAGCCTGGACAGTGTAAATGGGATCGTCATTTCCTCCTAAATCTGAGTCAGTCTACCTGAAAGATGAGGAACCAACAGTCTGCACACAATTAATAAGCCAGGTCTGTATAGCGAATATGCATGCAAAACAGAACAAGTTCAAAAATTCATAAGTGTATGAATAACCAGGACTTTCCACTGGATTTTAGTTTGTGAACACACAGAAGAATGGATTTTACAGTTACAGTGGAACATGGCACTCTTTCCAAATTGGCCTGTAGGTGTCATTCACTGGTCAACATAACTGTAGCTAACATTGGCAGACCCTATAAACGTGTCCCAAATAGCACACAATCCTGTCTTGTCAACATTCATTCTGACCATTTGGAACATTTGTTTGTATATTTTGTTTAGGACTGGCTAACCAGGACAGTGTTTGGTACCAGAACCTTGTCAGTGGACTGACCCCGGCCCAGATCAAGGATCTGGAAGAGATATTTAAGCTGGCTGAGCAGAAGAAGGCTGTAGCCAGTAAGTAGTCGTCTTTAGCCATTCCATTTTTGGGTGAGGGGGGATTCATTTCCTTTCTTCATCTTTTATTTGATCAGCCATTTTCATTATTTCTTTGGCTTTTTTCTTTTATATCTTTGGTCATTTCATTTATTTCTTCTGGTTTCATTATTTTCTTAGTCATTTTATTTCTTTCTTAGGTCACTTCATTTATTTCTTAAGCTAATTAATTCCCTTTCTATTGTTATTGTCAAATTACCTTTTTTTTGGGTCTAATTTTTCAATCTGCCATTGCCTAATGATACAAACAAACAAACAAAATAAACTTAATGTAACTAATTTATTTTCAGACTCAAAGAAAATTGAGGAAGGGGGCGGATACATGTTCACCAATCGCCAGGTGCCCACATCTTTTAACTTTGGAGCAAGCTAAACTCGTACAGACCTTATTGATGCATGTGTATATATAAACAGTTTGTGACAGCTGGCCTCTGGACATTCTGCAATGTGACACTTTGACTTGATTTCCTGATGGCTGAAGATGCAGGCTAACTATAGGACTTACTTCTAAACATCTGTGGTCCTCCTCCTCTGTTCTAAATATTGCATATTTTTAGAAATTTAATTTTTCTTCTTTTTATCAGTTGCAGTGGATTTATATATTATATACATAAGCATACATGATTTATCACGCACACCAGTCTTTAGCTTTTCAGTGTAGCTCGCAAGTGTGGATGCTTGTGTTTGTGTTCTTTGACAGTCTCTTAGGCTGTCTATGGCAGACTGTCCTCTGCATGCTACTGGTCTTTGACTACCCCCCACCCCTTCCTTTCCCTTTTGAACTGGCATTCTGTAGTTGTGATGAGTGCTGTTACATCGCGCACTGTTGTCATTATGGCTTAGACTGGTACACACTCTGTCAGCTAGGCATTTCAGAGAAATTTACCTTGTGATGCAACAGATGAAACACCTTGTCAGTTGACAAACCTGGGCGTATGAAGTATAAAAAAATCACCTTATCGTAAACATTTTGTTAGTTGGCTTATTTTTCTGTAAAACAGGTTATATAAAATCACCTCATTGTGTATGTAACAGATGAAACACCTTGTCAGCAAGCATACGTTGCTCTACATGTCATAAAATCGCCTTATCATATAACAGACGCAACACCTTGTCAGTAAGCCAACATTGCCGTACATGTCATATAAAATCCCCTAACCATGTAATCGATGAAACATCTTGTCAGCTAGCATACATTGCTGTACATGTCATATAAATTCACCTTACCATGTAACAGATGTCCAAATCACCCACATTGAACTGTATGTTTCATTGTAACACAGTGGGGCCCTAATACCCCATGCGGTTGAACAGGGTTTTTTGGGGATATGCTTATCAAGATGTTAATAGTATGGACAGAAAATTTGGAAGGAAACGGTGACCACTGCCAGCAAAGGAGATATTGTGTCAACTAGCATACATTACTGTACAGTATGTCACAATGTAGTCACATGTGTCCACAACTTCTACGTACCTGCTCATCTGTCATACATTGCTCTGCAATATCAGATAAAATCACTTCATTGTGTATAAAACGGGACACCTTATGTTTTCTTTACATATTTTACATAACTTGTAAAGATACATTACACACACAGCAGCCTTTCTACGTGATGCATGATGTTACAACAGCTTATGACACCATGGTCGTCTCAGATAACACTTTTACACACAGTATTACACACCTGAACATTTACACACATTTCTAAAATAACACATTGTTGGTATAGCCACACATATATAGTTACAATCTATGAGCATTCATATTTCTATTTAACATATTACCATAAAACAGTATACACATTGCCATATGACATATTGCTACACACAGTCATGGTAGTGCATGATGTTACAACAGCTTATGACATCATGGTCGTCTCAGATAACACTTTTACACACAGTATTACACACCTGAACATTTACACACATTTCTAAAATAACACATTGTTGGTATAGCCACACATATAGTTACAATCTATGAGCATTCATATTTCTATTTAACATATTACCATAAAACAGTATACACATTGCCATATGACATATTGCTACACACAGTCATGGTAGTGAGCTTTCATTTTGCCATACAGCAGATTTTATTATTACACTTAAAACAGTCTACCCATTGCCATATGAGATATTAAACTGTTTCTTCATGAGGTTGTAAAGAATGATATGAATGTATGGATACCACTGTAGCTAGCGGGTTTGTTACCCATAAACAGAGTGCTAATTCTGCTGTTCCCTGTGTGGTACCTGAACCCTTTCCATCCACACGGTGCTTGAACATACAGGCTGCTGCTGCCACCCAGACTGCAGTCCTGTTCTGGCTGTATATGCTCACCTGTCTTTTGTTTTAAATATGGGCTGTCTGATTTACACAGGCTGCCTACTCACTTTGTGTAGACGGTTTCAAGTTCACTTGGCTTGTCTGCTGTCTTATGTTTGGGATGTCTTGATTCACTTAGGCTGACTGCCCTCTTGTATGTATGTGGGGAGTGATTCATTCAGGCTGCCACCGTATGGGCTGTTTCGATATGGGCTAATTTACAGAAGTTGAAAGTGTGTGGTGTGTGATTGACACAGGCTGTTTAGATATGGCTGATTTACATAAGCTGCCATTATGTGTGGTGTGATCGACACAGGTTGCTCCTGCCAGTGTGTGGGGTGTAATTGATATGGGTTGATTTACAAAAGCTGCAAGTATGTGTGGGGCTGCATAGACATGGGTCGATTTATTTTAACTTCTAGTGTGTGGGGCGTGATCAACACAGGTTACTTTGATATATACGTTTACCATTAGCTGCCAGTGTGTGTGGGGTGTAATCAACGCAGTCTGCTCCAAAATGGGCCAATTTACATTAGCTGACCAGTATGTGGGGTGTGATTGACACAGGCTGCTTCGACATGGACCGGTCTATTTCAGCTGCCAATCTGGGGATATGAATCACACACACTATCTACAGGTGGACACTTTTCACACAGAGATTGTGTCATCTCAGTAGCTAGCTACCTATACAGATAGTTACCTCATGCCTTGTCTGTGTTAAGTACAGGCGGCCACCTCGTCTTATGTCTATGATTAAAGTACAGTTGGAGATTCAGTTTCTGCTGCTCTGACACCCAACTGTAGTTAGAAGTTCATTCATATTACGACACTATCATCACAGACAGCCCTCATTATTATGGGTTTTTTAAGGACTGAACACACAGTCCTGATAAATGACGGTAAAAGACTCAATTTTCTAATTTATTTCATTTTCTAATTGGTCTTGCACCAGCTTTTCTCAACTCCTGTGACAGACGGCTCATGTTAACTCAGAAAATGTTCAGAATTTATCCTTCCTTTCTGCCAATTGTGTACCATTGTTTTCATAAAGACTTAAATTGTCTGTCAATGAGCACAGTGAGTTATACTGTATGTCAGTGCTGTTGTCAGTACAGCAGAAACTGTTGAAGCCTTGAAACGAAAGACAGATCGGCACGAGATGAGTTGGGAGGTGTATGGCTTTACAGACATTGGGCATTGTGGCCAGGTGAGGCATTGACTGTACATTGACGATGATACGCTTCTGTCACAACTACATATTGCCGCCGTGATCATATAGCACTGTCATGAACTCGTAGCACTTAACAGTCATGCGTCACCATCGCAGTCATCTGTTGTGATCACGTATCACTGTCATGAACATACATCATTATATCAATCTTAGCTCACTATTGTAATCATAAATCAGTGTCCCGATCATTCATCACTGACTTATGAGTTGGGTTATCTTGACTGCACACCAGACATATTCCTACACCACTATCGCCATCATATGTCATACATCACTCATGATCTTATGTCACTTGTCATACATCACTCATAATGTTATGTCACTGTTGCCATCATACATCACTGTGGCATGTCACTGCCATGATCATATGTCATTATTTTATCATACTGTCCAGGCTATGGTGAAAATGAGAGTTAATAGTCACTATCATTTTAAATTGTTGAAACCCATATATTGCCATTGATAACTTGGGAAACATTTGAGTTTTCTCTCCGTGTAGCAGTAAATAATTTGCACACATGGACATGAATAGTTTTTATTATGGCTTTGTTAACACCCAGCTTTTAAACATTTTCACACCTGTGCCCAGAGTTTCACACTGTATAGCGTTGTGGTTATGTAGTTACCTCAGATGTTTGTGTGTCTGGTTTTCTTTGCTGTGGTGATTGCACTGAGTCATACAAACACACGAGTTGACCTGTGATCAGCAGCAAATCAGATTGGTGAAATATTATCTGTATTGAGGACAGAATTTAGATAAAGCAGCTGATAAAATAAGTGGAATATTGTCTCCATTGAGGACAGAATTTAGATAAAGCAGCTGATAAAATAAGTGGAATATTGTCTCCATTGAGGACAGAATTTAGATGCAGCAGCTGATAAAATAAGTGGAATATTGTCTCCATTGAGGACAGAATTTAGATAAAGCAGCTAATCAGATTAGTGGAATATTATCTCTATTGAGGACAGAATTTAGATAAGCAGCTGATAAAAATTTATAATTTGTAGCATATTTCTAATTTTGCACAAAATTTCAATATCTGCTTTGAGATTTGATCAGATCATAAATTCTGTACTAGTACAAACAGCTGAAGTACAAGGTGATAGTATTAGGGTCATAATCAAACAGTGTTTCACTGAATGAAAGGTGAGAATGTGTGGTAGTGGAAGATGAGGTGGCTTGGTTGAGGACCTGTACCCCACTGAGGGATGAGGGACAGAAAACGTGAAAGGACTGTTGTCAGTTGTATAAATTTGTCTGAAGTAGATGGTTATGTCGATACTGTTTCTGCATTCCGCATGTTTGAGCAAAGTTTTAGGCATGTTAATAAAATGCTGATTTGATCCTCTTTGTTTTGAGTTGCTGACTGTCACTAGGTATTTTTGTGAGTTGAACTTCAGAATAACCACTTTATTCTTGTAGGTTGTGAAGGAAGAAACCAGTTGCATTTATTCTTTCGGTGATCAATAGTGTACATTACCTGTCTTTATTTTTGTTTTTTTAAAAGATTTGTTTTAAATGTTTTCATGACTAGTGTCTTGTGTATTAGCCAAAAAGTGTGTTCTCTTTGATTTGTTTCAGCAGCCAGGTTCTCTAACAGATGCTGGTTTCTCTTGAAACTGTTTGAACCTACATGGATGTCATCGGTTTTTGTTGTCATTTGTAGTTGAGTTTATTCTATCTAATTTCTCTTCTGATTTTTAATTGAATGTGTTATGTTCACTTTTTTTTTCTACTTGTTTCTTTGCTGTTTTCTTTTTTCTGTGGATTCTGGTATTTGAACTCTTTGTTTTTCTGTTGTAGCTGTCATAGTCT